TAGCATTTAGTCCTCATCCGTAAATATCGAGGTTAATTTATAAATATACGTCGTTATATTATTTAGTTATATATAAGAACTTTTTTTCCGTTTTTACCTTTTATCGTTCTTTTATAATTAGCTTTTTTAGTTTTTTATTATTTATTTTTTCGGACGGTTTTTTTATTCATATCTTTTTTAGTATTCCCTTTATACCTTAGCTTTTTTAACGTAGTAGATTTAGTATTAGTTATATCTATAGTCTTCTTATTCTATATACTCGCTATTAAAGTACTTTATAAAAAAGCTGGGGTCTAGGCCGAATATTACTTTATTATTATTATCAAAGCTTAGTAACGTCTAACTAAGTAGCTAGTCCTTTATATAAATATTTTTAATAAGTTTATTATTACGTTTTTATAAATAAAAACGGCTATTTTATTTATATACGAGGTACTAAAGGTATTTATTATCTAGGTACTCTATTTAAAATAATTCCTTATAAAAGGGGTTTTTGGGGTTAAGTAAAGAGTAGTCTTTATCTATATAGGGGGTTATTATAATCTTTTTACGTTTTTTAGTTCTATAAAACTAAATAGTTTAGTTATTCTTAAATAAATAAATATACTTATACCGTAATTCGTCGTCGTCCTCTTTAGAGCTAGTATCGTTAATATTAAGTAGTACTTTATAATCGATCTCTATCTAAGTACGTCGTTAGGTAACGTTACGAAGTTCGTCCGAATTATAAAATAATTTTATTTTATTAAAATAAAAAGAGCTAGTTCTTATTTTAATATTTTCTTTTTTTTTAAAGTTAAAGTTAATTTTTCCCTCTTTTATAATTCTAAAGTTAAGAATTAGTCTCTTAAGTACTTCGATTTTATTTTTATATACGAGGTCCTTAAGTTATTTTTTAACCTTATAAATAAATTTTTTATTAGCGTTTACTCGTCTTATTATATAAATAGACTTAGTTAGGATTTTGCTTAAGTTAGCTTTTAATTTAGTAAGTAGTTTTTAGTTTATATAATTTTATTATACTATATAAACGAGGCTACTTATAATTTTTTTTATATTAAGTCTTCTTTTTCTAAATTTAAGGAGTTACTTTTTTATATTAGCTAGGAATCTTTGCTTAATCCGTCTTTTAAAGAGGTAAAGTATATCCCTCGTAATAAGGTCCGTTTTAGCCTTTTTCTTTATATTTTTATAAATTTAAGAGAGTATAATAATATATTTAATATTATTTTTTTTAAAAATATAGGGTCGGTAGGCAGGTATCTTTTCTTTTTTTATTACTACTACTAGGGTTCTAATAGATAGTATAGTATCGTACCCGGATCGTCCCTTATCCTTAAGTTACTTTAAGTACTATCCTATTTATTCCTTATTATTTTAGTAAATAAGATAGCTATCGTCGTAGTAAGCTATTTATAAGAGTTATTTATAGGGGACTTTTTTATTCGTAACGTTAGCTCGCTTTTTTAAGATAAGTTAGTATTAGATACGCTTAGGTTATTAATAGTCTCTAGCTATATATCCTAGCTTATCGTAGTTATAGTATTTAAAGTCCTTTTTTTAGTAAGATTATTCTTTTTTAATAACGCTAAGGTCTATTAATTTATTATAATACCCTATCGTAATAATCGTTAGTCTATACTTACGTTTATTATTAAGTTTAGCTCGGTTATTCTAAGTATTTTATCCTCTTTATTTAAAACGTTGCTTATAGAGTCGATTATTAATCTTAACTATTATATTAATATAATTATAAAATTTATTTAGCCGTTCTTATTAAGAGAGGTTATTTTTAATTTCTTTTTTTAGGCCGTAATAGAAGGCTACTATAAGTACTTTATTACCCTAATTAAGTTTAGAGGTAATCTATCTAAATTCGGACGCGTACTTACTAACTAACCCCTTTTATATAAGGGTTATAAGCTTTTACTTAGTAATTTGTTTTTTATCGGGGTTACTAAAGGTTTTTTTAAGTCTTTTTTCGAACTTATTATAGTTATTAAAAATCTTTTTAGTATTTATTTCTTAGATCTTACGTTTATTCTCGAGATAATTTCTTATAAAGGGTTCGAACTAGGTAAGGACGTCTTTTTTAAAAAAAGATACCGTATAGTAAACTTTATCTATTTTAGTAATAAAAAAAAATTTATAGTAGCGTAAATAGGCCCTAGTTCGAGTAAGGAATTCTTAAAGCGTATTTAGGGACCCGTTATAGGGTTCTAGTTTAGGGTACTTAGCTCTAGGTACTAAAAGAGGTCGGGGCGCTAAGAGCTAAGTATAGAGCTACTTATTCTTATTTTTAAATTTAAATATTATATTATATAGCTATTATATAATAAGTATAGCTACCTAAATAGGCCGCGTAGTACTATTATTATTAATAGTTAATATATTTATACTATTTAGTTAGTTTTTTATAAAATAAACTTATTAAATAGGAGTAATTAAAGTATTATAGCTAGTTAGTTATAATAAGTATATTAATAGAAGTTAAGGCTACGAATATTAAATAAATAATATTATAGTCGTAAATAGCTTTTTTAAAACTATGTTTATAAATCGTAAGGTAAGTAAGGCTTTAGTAATTAATTATAGTTTTATTAAAAGAGGTTCTTAGTAAAAATAATTAAAAGCGATTATAAGATTTAATATTAAGTTAATTACTAAAGAAGCTATAGGAAGTCTATCCTTAAGCCTAGCTTAAGTTTATATTATATATAAGTTTTGTTCTTAAATATATCCTTTATAGTATTCTTATTTATTATTATTTAACTATTTACCGAACGGTTATCCGTCCTACTTATTTACGATCGTCCGTCCTACTTATTTATAGGCGTCCGTTCTTTATTTTATTATATAATCGTAGTTACGTAACTTATTTATAGTTCTTCCGTTCCGAGAGGAGTTACCCTAAGTCCGTACTTCTATATATATAGTATAATAGCTACCGTAGGTCCCGTAGGGCGGGGCCCTAGCCTTGCTATGCGTATTAGGTCGTAATAGTCTAAGCCGCTATTTATTAAATTTAGCTCGTTATATCCCGAATTAGCTAATAATCTAAATAGCGCGTCTAGTATAATATATTCTTTACTTAGCTTATATATAACCTAAATATTAAATTAGCTAGCGTACTCTATTACCCTAATTAGTTTTTTATTATTAGTACTATTTACTATAATATTAGTAATATCTTCTAGCACGTATAGCTATAATGAGGTACGGGATATTCTTATAAAAGAATATATAAAGTGAATATTCATATAGAAGCAAGAATATATGAATATAGGGGTAATAAGCGTATATAAAAGAGGTTTTTATAATAAAGAGAGTAATATAGTTAAATTACTATATAAGAAGTTGCTTACTTAACGAAAGGTCTAAGTAGGTAAATACACGCCTATATATAGGCATAAAAACCTCCTACTAGAATATTCTATTACTTATTAATTATGAAATAATTAATAAGCGCATACGTAAGTGAATGCGTAATCGTAGTACGTAATTCCGTCTCGAGAGGATTCCAGCTTATTCCGTTACCTTCTAGTACTTTCCATCGCTTACGTAAGCTTATATAAGCAGTATTGCTTATATAATCAATACCTATAATAATCTACAAAAAATGTAAATTATTATGGTATATATATCGCTTACGTAATATTGATAATAAGGCGAACAATAAGGTAAACAAAGTTACTTTCGTAATAGTAATACGTATTACTACTAATATTAAAGGCGTAGTAAGTAATAACTGCAGTTAGGTAGGAGTTATTAAATAAGTATTATTAAATAACGTTAGTTAGTTATTAAACTTTATAGCGTAGATTTATTAAATTACCGTATTAACTCCTTATACTAATTCTAAGAATTCGATAAAGTAATTAAACTTAACTTCGCTAGTACGAGTATTAATAATTTAATTAGCTTATTATAATATACGTATTACATAAAGTCAGTTAGTATTTATAACTCTTATTATATAGGGGTAATTTATATTATTAATATAAAAACGTAATAGTTATTTAGCTTTTAGCTTAGTTATTATTAGTCGTATTTTTTATAGGGGTAGAGTAAGGATTATTTAGTAGATTAAATCTTAGTAATAGGCTAGTAAAAAAGAAATTCTTAGTACTAGATCGTATTATAGGTTATATTATTAAATTACTAGGGGTAAAAGTAGGGTTAAAGTAGTATGTTAAGTAAAGGTTGATTTTTCTAAGTAATATAAGTAGAAGCCCCTAATATAAGCCGCAGCCCCTATGTCTAGTTATGGCTGGTGGCTACTAGTTGTGGTATATAGCCTGTGGCTGTGTAGTGTGGCATTGGCTCTTACGGGTCTGCGGCTCCAAAGCTTACAAAGTCAGCTCGGCTCAAACTTCAGTGGCAGAGTGGCCCAGAGTCGCACCTTGTTTGTTTGTGGTTTAGTGAGTGTACCCTTGCTGCGTCCCCCACACTCCCATCTCTTGTATCTCCAGCGTGGACTTTGGGGGAGAGATACATGGTCAGCCGAGTCCTCGCCCTTCCTAGCCTCTCGCTGGCCTGAGGTCTGCATTGGCCGGGTCCAGCCCACTACGGAGTACACACTCGTCACCTTGGAAGCATTGCATTTTCCCTTTGAATTTTCTTGTCCCTCACTGTCTCCAGCAAAAACTTCAGAGAGCCCAGTCTGAGAGTGAACCTCCAGAAGTATTCATGTACCTCTGTGCCGGTGGAAGTAAGGTACGACAGGTACGGAGTACATACGTCCCTTCCCCAAATTTTGTGATGCCACCACCCCACCCCTCCTCCTTTTTTTTTCGTCTCCCCTTCGTGCCTTCCTGGTTCTCCATTATTGAGACTGTCTCCGACCTCCGCCTTCTAAGTCCGTTCAGGTCTCTGGCCGTCACCCATCAAAATCAATCTTTTTCTTCCTCTCTCCGTCTGCCTCTGCCTCTGCCTTCCCCTCTCCCCCTTCCTAAAATTTAAACCAATACTTGGGCCTTGAACCTGAGACAACCCCCAAGGCAGATCTTTCTACCCACTTCACTTCGTCTCGTCTTGGCCAAGCATTCCGACCAAAAGCCAAGCTATTCGTACGCCAGCAGAGAAGAAAAAGGTACGTAGCAGCAGGCCTTCCCCGTCATTCACCTTTGGGTTCCTTGCGCGGTCAGTCAGGGCAGGCAGGCTCAGAGGTACCTCGTCACCAAAGCCAAGGCATGGGTGTACTTCAGCCTCCTCCACCGCACCCACGTCCCACCCACCTCACGCACCACACCGCGGACCATTCATTCAACCCATCCCACACATTACGATGCTCATTTACTAACCCGCTCCTCCCGCGCGCACCCAGGGTCCTTTTCCTCTTTCTACCTCTGCCTCACTTCTACAACCAATACCAATCAACTATCTAAACAACCCCCCAAACACTCTTCATTTGTCTCTCTCGCCTGCACAACTGGGATTTCCAAATTCGTCACCGAGATCTTGCGAGAACGAACCGTCGCCTACGCCCGCGACAACACCAACAAGACCACCTTACCCGCGATTCACGACAAGATGGACCTCAATTTCCAACTTGCCGCCCGTCAGGTTTCTGCCTGTGCTCTCTAGAGACACGCAAAGGGACATCTTTCAACATTGCCTCTTGTCCCACGGGAGGAAAATCATCATTGCACGCTCTTCAACACTCCTCAAAAATTAATTACCAACCGACAACACGTACCGCTTCGCTCACACGACCACTTACCCTTTCCTAACCTTTCTCCGAAACCCTGAACTTTACTACCCACGAACCCCAGAAGACATAAGTACTGCAACACCCGTGAACAGTCACGCGATCAAGCTCACTCCACGATCACTCCACCCACGACTTACATCATTACCCCATACCATGGCTGGTGCCGTGGTCTCCAAACGAAGTGCGAGACAGTTCCTCGAAGACGAAGGCGGTCATCCCGCAGAGCATCCTACCTACCACCCCGCGAGACGCAACTCCAAGCAAGACGATCCCGTCCCTGTTGAGATGGCCGACAAGTACCAAATCAAGGGCCCTTCGCGGCAAGGATCGCGCGAGTCCGTAGCTGGCTCCGACTCTACACTAGAAGGTTCTTTACAGAAGCAGATCATGAAAGCGATCGAAGACGATTCCCAAACGGCCGCCATTATTGGAGAGAAGACATTGGCCAGGCGTGAGGATGGACTCCTCAAAGTCAACGACCAGGCGAAATCGCCTCTGGGCCCTCCTATGTCGCCTGATATTGAGCGAGTCTTGCCAATTGATGGACGACCAATCAACTTTGGCGTTGTTGTCCCCGGAGTTTATCGAAGCAGCTATCCCAAGCCTGAAGACTTTGGCTTCATCCGCAATCTTGGTCTCAAGTCAATTGTGTAAGTCACTACAGATTTCGATCCTCGCCAGCGGCCGTTTCTAACATAGCTCTTAGTACCCTTGTCCAAAAAGACGACGTCGATGAGCCTTACACTGCTTTCATGTCAAGCAACGGTATTCGTCACCATGTCTTTAACATGAAGGGTACCAAGAAGGAGGCCATTCCCATTCGCACAATGAAGTCAATCTTGCGGCTTGTTCTGAACCGAGAGCACCACCCCCTCCTCATTCACTGCAACCATGGCAAGGTATGTCTACAACACCAGACAGTCTTGGTATCGTTCGCCCACTAACATGACTATAGCATCGCACTGGCTGTGTCGTTGGCGTGGTTCGCAAGGTGACGGGCTGGGAGCTCAACACCATTGTTGATGAGTACCGGGCATACGCTGAGCCCAAGATCAGAGACTGCGACGTTAAGTATCTCACCGACTTCGATCTCTCGGATCTTTCCAACCTGTTTGTCCACGAAGCGAACATGCGGTTTCGCATTCGACACTTTATGAGAGTGACCCTATTCACTGTTTTTGTCGTCTTCGTCTGGTTCATCTCGGGGCATAGAATGCAGACGACAGCCAGACGCGTCAAAGAAGTGAAGTAATCGTCCCTGTCGCGGGTGTTACAGACTCTGGCATTTCTGCATGATGCTTGGCATTGGGCGGATCTTGGCCGAAGTCTGAACTTGGTGGAGCGCAGCGCAGCATGGTACAGCACTCTAGAAGTAAACTGGAGACTGTTACCCAGCAACGATACCCTACACAAAGACAGAAGAAGACTACACAGCGATGATGAAAGATAGGGGAGAAGGCTGTCACAGCACCGGTGAGAGGAAGATCGACGAGATGAGTCGAAGTACATGAGAGGGGACAGAAGAATAAGGACACACAAAAAGTTTGGTACATTGGGACTACCGCCCTCAAAGATGCAGCATAGACTGCCTGGGTTGGACCGGCTTCCTTCAATTTTTCTTTGTATGGATAGACAGAATACTGGGGACTCATCAAGAGCTGAGATGTCTCCTTTTGGCGTTAACTCGAGACTTGGGAAGTCATCGACAATGGCATTTCATCAAGTACAGGCTTTTTCCTTTGCTTTTTTGTTGTATTGTATTACTATCTTGTTAGGGTAGTTTGGGCAGTTAACTACTTGGGGAGGTTATGACCTTTCTGCAAACGCAATCGACTCAAGCCAACGTAGCTGATTTCTACATTGTCGAGATTCGTGTACATACCTCCCAAAAATTTGGTCTACCCTTAAAGTGCCCGTTTCTCCGTCTCCACGCTTGTTATTTTCGTGTGCAAGCATTGATTCCCCCAAGCGCTTATCGAGATCATGGTATGTGTGTATGTCGATCCATCCCCAGACGCTGCTGTTTCGCGTAACGACGTTTCGTCTCATGACTCGACGTATATCATTATCCTAACAGACTTCCCCTATAATCGTACAATATTCCTTACAGTCGATACTATTAATGTCTACGTTGGCTTGGCATCTTGAGTTTCTTCAGACAACTCGAGCCGAGCCAAGACCGCGCACCACTTCTCAGGAGAGTGGCAGCACTCCTACGGCAGAGACCAGATGGAAGAACATCATGCCTCATGTTTCCCTGAACATGGCCCCCTCGAGTCTTTTCTCTCCGCCTGGCAACTCTCAAAACTTTTGTCTTCTCCGCCCTTCTCTCCCTCTCTCATGACTCCCCGCCCCAGCGGTTCCTCTCTTTCCTCTCCACCTCATCCTTCTTCCGATCGCCATTGGCGTACACCCACGCGCCGGCAGCAGAGTTGGCAAAGCCCATACCGATGGCGGTGCCGCGGACGAGGCCGCGGGCGGTGAACTTGCTTCGCAGAGGTTGGCGGCGGCGCAGGGCGAGGAGGGCGTAGAGGCCCGAGAGGGCGCAGGTGAAGCCCGCGCTGTCTGTGGGGAAGCCGGCGAGATTGACGTAGCTGCTGAAGAGGAGGGCGGGCGCGAAGGAGGCCGGAAGGATCTTGAGGGGCCGGCCGTGAAGGGCGCCGATTAGGATCGCGTGTATTGCGGGCGGGAGGGGGTTTGCTGGAGAGTGTTAGTGAGGGGCAAGATGAATGGAATTGGTTTTGGGGGAGTTGGAGTAGAGGGGAGGTCGTGCGTACTGCCATAGTCGTGGATTTTGCTAAAGATTGATGACTTGACGTCTTCCGTGTCTGAGAGACCGTTGTCAGCTGCCATTGTCGCTGGAGGATTTGGGATTTTGGCGACCGCAAGACTGGGCTGATTTCGCTGTTGGAGCGAGGAAAGGATATCGTCACTGATTTTTTGGAGTCGCAGCAGGGACCTTACCTCGAGGTAGGTACCTTAGCTCATTCCCGTATTAGTGACATATGTTATCGATAAGAAGAGACCCTGCTCGGATGAGTCAGCTGAGCCGCATACCCAATCAGCTGGTCCGTGGTTCCGGGGCGTCGGGCGAGTCTCTCAATTTCGACCTCCATCGAGTGGATTGGAACTTGGTACAGTGTCTTGTTCCCCCCATGTTGGCTGGAACTCTTGCGACTTTGGTCTACATTTCTTTCGCTTTCGCAAGATAGTCACACAATTCCCTCCCACGAATACACAAGATTGTTTGCCACTTTCCGGGTTCATTGACGACAGAGTCCCGAGTCAGCGAGCTATTTGCTGCACCTGGTGCGGGGGAGCATCGCATCAGTAACGTGGGCTCTTAGCCTTGCATCGCCTATCTTGCCAGATTGGCAAAACCCACCAACGCAACATCGCATCCTCCAACGACTGCGCGCACCCACGGCCGCAAAGAGCCTCGATCCAACCCGCACACACTCTGTGTGCTTTTATACGCAATACCGTCAAGCGCAATCATTAACTTGATTCCGACCATCCGATAGACGATTCCTCGATCTTACCCCAGCAACCACATCACCACACCAAAAAAAAAACACAAACACACATACATACCAAACCATGCCGAGCGCAACAGCCTCGGGCGCCGACTCAGGCGGCGGCGCCCGCAACCGCGAGCACAACCAGGGTAACCAGGCCCGCGCCTACACGGTCGACCAAAAAGCCGCCGTCCTGCGGATCCGGAAATGCTCGCCGACGGCCTTTTACGACATCCTCGGCCTCGAGGAGGTGAAGACGACGGTAACGGAGAGCGAGATCAAGAAGGCGTACCGCAAGCAGTCGCTCCTGACTCACCCGGACAAGAACGGCCACGAGCACGCCGACGAGGCCTTCAAGATGGTCAGCCGCGCGTTTAGCGTGCTGGGCGACAAGGAGAAGCGCGAAAAGTTTGACCGGTTCGGTACGGACCCCGATTCGAGATTTGGGCAGGCACAGGCGCAGAACCCGTTTAGTGGATTTGGTAGGCGGCAAGGCGGCGGAGGGGGAGGAGGTGGTGGTGGCGGCGGTGGTGGTGGGATGGAGGAGATGACGCCTGAGGAGATGTTCCAGCGCTTCTTTGGCGGTGGTGGGTTTGGTGGTGGACCTTTCGGAGGCGGAGGTAAGAACGAAATTATTTCGAGAGACTGGGCGATGAAGCTAATGATGGCGCGCAGGTTTCGATACGGGACCTCAGTTCGTGTTCAACTTTGGCGGCGGTCCGGGGTTCAGGGTACACCAGTTCGGCGGAGCGCGGCCGCGAAGGAGACCTCGCGAGGCGACGGAGCAAGAAGGAGGCGGGCTCTCGACGCTTATGGGCCTGCTCCCGATCCTGCTTCTCTTTGTCTTCCCGCTCATCTCCAGCCTCTTTAGCGGTGGCGGCCCCGCGACGCCGAGCATCGTCTACGACAACCCCAAGGGTGCCTACACGCTGGGGCGGACGACGCCCAAGCTTAACGTCAAGTATTTTGTCAACCCCAAGGAGGTTGAGTCGTTTTCCAAGGGGAAGCTCAGCCAGCTGGATCAGACGGCGGAGAACAACCTGGTCAGGACGCTGCGGTTCGAGTGCGAGAATGAGATGATGGCGAGGCAGAGGATGTACGATGCGGCGAGCGGGTGGTTCTTCCAGGACCCGGATAAGATGCGCAGGGCGGACGAGTTCGAGATGCCTTCGTGTAAGAGGCTGGAGACGTTCCGTGTGGGCAGGTAATTAATGCGCTTGGGGGGATCTGTCTGTCTGGTGATTACATCTTTAAGAGGAATAGAGCGGATGAGAGAGGTGGGGGAGGACGCAAAGGCTTTGTATGAAATGGAAAGGGAGCTCGGAGAAGCTGAGAGACGCGCCCGCTTCACTTTTTCTCCGTTTGGCGTTTTCTGGGGAGAACTCTTTGAGATTCATAGCATTGTTGGGAAACTCCGCGTCGGGCATTTTCTTTCTGCCTTTGGTCCCCTTCTTCGTCCTTCTGTCGTCCTTTGCGATGCAGATGCAGTGTTCTTTTCATATATTCCTTCCCCTCTTCACGCCCTGAGATGCCTTTTTGTCTCTCACCCTCTCACCCTCCCATCGCAGATCAAGAATCGACATGTTACCCGGACTATCATGATTACTGCCTCTCTTTTCTTCAACCCATGTCTGGCCTGTCCCGCACCTTGCTGAAGTGGAGGTCCCTTTCTCGCAGTGATCCACAACCCCAAACTTCGCCTAAGTCGGTCGGCGTCGGCCCTTTGCTGCCCACAGATTCACACGATGTGCTCGACTTGTTTCTTAATCCCCACAACATCGTCGGACACTCAACCAGGAGCTCCAGTAAGCTTCTCTTCTCAACTATCCCCGATGGCACAATTGGCTAGCGCGTCAGACTGTTAATCTGGAGGTTGGTGGTTCGAGCCCACCTCGGGGAGTTATTCAGTGGTTAGAGTCCACATGTTCGGTTGAGAACTATTCTTTTGCATCTGTTCTGTTTTGTTTTGCACTGATTTCGTGTTCTGGTGATTCTGGCTGAGAGACCATGTCAAATTTTGCTTGAAGTGAGAAATTCGGTTGGTTTGAAGCCACCGGCTTGTTTTGCTGTGGGACTTGCATCTTTTTGGGGTGATTATGTTGATGATGTACTGGGTACTATAAATTAGCAACTTGTTTCGAGTTCTCAGATACATAACCTACCTAATCTTTAGCAAAACACTGCCAGAAACATACTGTGAGATGAAGAGATACCTCTATAGAAGGGCAATCCAGGGTTGTTTCATTCCGGCATTACAGTGGGCGACATAATGTACAATTTGAGCTGCGAGTCGGAGCCCAGACGTGCGCGTTTTCTCTCTATGTCTGTCTCATCAAATCCAAGGCACAGATCCAAAGCCTTGAGAAAAGATAGCGGGCTAATTATATTTGGATGCTTTCCCCAGAACTTAGTCGCGCGCCAGTACTATAGCAGTGTCACTTGGGGACCGCATAGTAAGAAGAAGCTACTGCCGTTTCATGCATCTTTCACGGCGACGACGGAAGCGAAGGGAAACGCGATTTCTTTTGCTGCTAGACCCTCTTCGGAGAGCAAGATATCCCGAGCGAGTAGAGGTGATTGTTTGATCAATTCCCGAGAGTCATCATTGCGCCCGAAATATCTCATATCTCAGCCTTCGTTAGAGATCGAGGACAATTATCGAGCTTGTTTCCCACCCCCCCTCCGTTTTTCTTTGACAGCACTCTCTCGCTGATATAGTCAAATATCGTGCCGTGTAGCTATGTAAGCTTTAGTTGGTCTCTTGGATCATCGCATGCCAGGACTATCGCGACAAAGCTCTTCTCACGAGGTTTCAGGATAGCAAGCGGCGTGACTTGAGTTGGATGGTTTGATTCTCTCAAAACCCCTTCTACAGATCCGCCACCAGAGCTCCCGTTGGCGATCTCTTTTTAATGATACTTTGACAGCTGACCGTGCTGCCGTTGATCCCGGAGAAGAGATCTCTGCACAAAGCGGCGTCAGTAGTAAGTTCTGCACGCCTCAGAGGTAAATGTCTCCCGGAGCCGGACCGCTGGGACGTTATCTATGGGCACCTGCGATGTACCCACAAGAAGGGCAGAGCGTATCTTCACGAGATATAGAAGGCGCCACCTCTGATAATGCCTACATTGACAGAATGATCTACGTGGTTGCTTAGCTTTACTCATATAACGACGCCATCGGCGGAGAAAAGTGAGAGACAAGTGTGCCGAATAATCTCACATCTCAAATCCAAGATCTCACTATAGATATATACCCCTGGAACGTCAAAGGTCTTTGGATGCCACGGGAATACTTTGGGAATGGATCGACTGCCGTCGTGATTGATGCCGCCCGCCGTCTTCCAACCTATCCCTATCCTTCCGGCCCGCCGGGTCATCGACTGCTCCGAGAGCGACACCTCAGACTTGTGCCTTGCTTCCCGAGAGGAAAATACCCGAAAAAGTAGGTAGGGCTAGCTAATTGGTCACAATCTTTCGACCCCGGACTCGGAGCAGGGCAAAGTTGGTCTCGTGACTTCTGGGCCTCGCAAGTCTCTAGTCCTGACAGCCATGGGGAGCATGCTGGGCTCCAGGCGCTGGAGAGGAGGGCAACTGTCGGGATATGCCCGGTTATCAAGGGTTGAAATGAGAGGAAGACCATTACTTTGTACAGGACTCAAAAGGGGGAAAGGTTTGTTTAAAGTTTACACTGTTATATCGAGGCCTCTGTTGACTAGAAACTCTTTGCAACCCCAAGTGAGGACACTACTCAGGAGAGAGCATTTCTAGTTGATACTGTGAGGCTCATCTTGATGTCTATGAGTAAGAGTAAGAGATGAATTGATGCCAAGCCTAATGGAAGGATGGAAAGGTGTCAATGAAAGAACTTTGCAATTTGGCGTGTCCGAGTAAGCAAAAGGAGGCAGATGCGTTAAAACTCTCCTCATCTAGCGTCAAACCGTCCCATGCGGCCACGAACGGGCTCTATGGGGCATGTTCGAGAGAGATGCAGTGCCGAGGGAAAGAGTGGACTTAGGGTGGAGGTGAGATCGGAAATAGAGATAAAATCGAGCGACATTGATTCCCGGAACAAGGTTCACAGGCTTAAACAATGGTCTTAATGTTAGTAAAGCCACCCATAATGCTCCGAACGAGATTCATGCTTCGAAGGGGGGGGGGGGTCTCCTCTCATGTACGCCTGCCGTGGCCTGCCTCGTCAATGGTAGGAAACCTCGGTCAGGAGGTTCCCAAAGCTGGACGTACAGCGTCGGCGACTCCCATGGGCCATAAGGCCTCGTGGTAGCAGCCGGCGTGTCCCCCGTCTTTGACCCCGTCTTGAAACGGAGGCTCGGGCCTTGACGAGTCGCAAAAAGGGCTGAGGGTTGTGTGAACTGTGGGTGGGCTGTATGCGCGTATACAAGCCTCCGAGCGAACATAGCTTTGACACTAACTGGTGAGGCGTCACCAACTAACAGCTGGCTGTTAAGGCATCGTGGGCACTCACGCAGCTAGACGGCGGAGGCGTTGGTGTTGGACGGAGAGGCGGGGTCTGTCCCTGTCCGTTAGAGTCACGGGCACGGAGCACCGGACGGCGGGCTGCGTCATTGCGCGGGGAGCACCCATGGGAGTCGGGAGTACGTACCGTCTAGTGTGTGGCTGAAGCTGTAGACGCCACAACTCTACCCCACTGGGTAACGGCGCGGGCACTTCTTTTCAAGGGTACCGTTTCTTGCTTTTTTCTATTTTCCACCTGTTGTCTCTGGATGTTCCATGATGATTGATTCAATTTGGTCTCGGCCGTCTGCGTCAAGCTGTAGATGTAGGTATGGATCGACGAGGACGGCTTTTTCATTTGCTGCCCAGTCGTATCTCGGTATCGCAATGTCGTTCACTGAGCATCAGACAGCAGGCGGGTGGCTGGCGGTGTACTGCGCGCGTGCTGATCGAGTGGACGCGCAAGCTTTCGGCGACAGGCTGTGCCATCTTACCCGATAGTTTTGTACTGATTGACGTGAAATTATGGAGGACAGCTGCGAATGGTTCATGGCCATTGTCGTCGTCACCATGCGTGTACCGAAATTTGCCATGTCCGCTAAAGAATCCCCATGTGTACGAATTGTGGTTTGTCTTATCTTCCAATGATGGTGGCCATTGGCCCGTGACATTTTGGCCCTATGCGAGCTGCAATGCTTTGCTATGTTGTAGTAGGTAGGTCTCATATGATTCCTGCATGTATGCTGTTGCCTGGCGATTCCGCTTTGTGTAGTCGGTAAGCGACTCGAGGAGGTATCCAAGGATATTCCCACGGGGCGAAGTCTTGCCAGGGCCAGTCAACGAGCATGGTGGAATTGCCGCTGGCTCTTTGCCGCAGGTGTATGTGTTCTCACCATGCCTTCAGCGCTCTACAGACTGCGAGAGAGCTTCTGGTGGCAGCTGCGGTACCCTGTTCGCGTAACTCGAGGTGCTTGTGCCGCGCCGGGTCTGCGTCCAGGGGCCCACTTGGTAGTGCCGCAGCGGAGAGGCGATGGTACGGAGTTGGTGGTGAAGCAAGGCGGATGGTGTTGTTGAGGTCCATGCCTTGCTGAAAACCCAGTATCAGGGATTCGAGGCAGCAGTGGTAGGTGCTGAGAAGCGTTTGTCCCAACTCTTGCGCAGTTCCTTTGGCATCCCTTCCATCCAGTCAAGTGATGTGCGAGATGAAATTGTCGGGTCCCAGTTCTAAACGTCGAGGTGCAGTGCTGGGGAAGAGGTTGGCGGGAAGAGTCTCTAGAAGAGATGGGGGATCCGGGACGAAAAAAGACGTCAAGTCAGCAGTACGTTCCCAAATACGAGTAGAAGTACCTACCTTACGGAGTACCTCTCCAGTTAAGGTACCTCAAACTTGGGAGGAGGTGGTGGTGGGGGATTTTGGAAGGAGCGAAACCTGAAAGTATAAGGCGCACCGCCACTTCCATGTGCGTGCCCGCCCGCAATCCGCGAGCGTTGCGCCGTGTGCTTGCGTCCCGACGGGTTGCGTGGGCTTTCTCCGTTACGACGGCTGCTGAGGTGTACGAATACAGTGCAGTGATGCTCCTGGTGTATTCGTCCAGTGTCTGCACTAGCACAGGTACCTTGTCAGGGCCACTGCTTGCTCGTTGCCGCCGCAGCTGCTGCAGGCTGGTCTTGGCTCCCATTGAGGTGCTCTTTTGGCTTCCCAGCAAGTTCCGTTCCAAGGTTCCTCAGACTCTCTTTCCTGCAACCTCCAGACATTTGGCTTCATCCTTTTCGGCAGCCTGTATTTCACAGCGTTCGGGATACACCGGGCTTCAAGAGCCTGCCGTTTGATTACCCATTCTGCCAAACGGTTCCGGTATTGCCGTTGGTCGATTGTCTCTTGTTGGCTGCTGATCGCTTCCAGTGCAATAATTGAGAGGTTTCTATTCACAGCCCACTACGAATGACGACACCCACTGGAGCTTCAATCTCACCTTCACCTACGCCCTCGTTCACGCCTAGCCGCTCGCCGAACACCCTCAAACACACCTGCAGCTCTCCCAGCCGCAGAATTCCGCCTAAATCTAAGACATTCTGATTTCGCGTTGCTTCTATTTGCTTGCGACGAACGACAGCCGCTCTCACGAATTCATTCCGTTACAACCACCCAAGTCCGAGACCTCGGGACCCTCGTCGACATGGTTACCCGCAAGCCCGTCCCCAACGAGACCTCCCTCGACACCAACGCTGCTGCCCCGCGGGTTGAAGACATGCGGAAAGAGCTTTGGAGCGCAACCGATTCTCCTTCCGACGTAGACAGTGTTTGGGACGATGCTCCTCAGCAAAGGGGCGCTGCAGCTCTGAACCAACAATCAATACCCCAAGACGTTCCCGAATCTCTGAAGCCCGGCGGGGTCACGGCACAGGCCCCCAAGATGACCAACGGAGTATGGAATGACGTTGACGGCCACCAACCTCAAATTGCCAGCGAGACAAGAAGCGAGTCCAACGAGATCCCATTGGTATTACGGCCAGGAGCGTCACCTTCACGATCCGACACAAACCCGTTCAAGCGCAAGGAAGTCCGCGACGACTCAAATCCAACATCACCGCCCACCAACGGGACTCCGACGATGCCTCCGGCGCAGCCGCTCTCGCAGATGAGCACCGGCGAGATCAGTAATAATCCATGGCAACCTGCCCTCGACCAGCATGCTCAGAGAGCTGCCGCCGCCAGCGCCCAGCAGTCTTTGCGTACTCAAAATAGCGGAGAGTCTGAGCGCGATGCATGGGCTGCAACGCAGGAGCCAAAATTGCCCGCTATTTCGACCTCTCCAGCACTATTATCGCTCCCCTCAGAACCTACCTCACCGGCATGGGACGACTTGCCGGAGAATCAGAGCAAGAAACCACTGGAATTACCTGTGGCCTCCATTCCCAACGATGCAATTGCAGACCAGAATGCCTGGAACGACGAAGGCGGACAGAACAAGGGCAAGGGAAAGGCCCCCGCCCCCGCTTCCGTTATCCCTCCTCCTACAGTCGAAGACGGGCCTATGGATGATTGGAATCTCATCGACGTCGAGCCGCCCGCTGGACCTCCGCCGGGCAGATCGCAAATGCCGAATCAAACGCACGACAGGCCCGATCAGGTCTCCGACGACAAGGTAGCGCCAGCATTGCCTCCGCGGAACGACGACGAAGAGCAACCTCCGCGCCAACCCCCACGCCCTGTAGACGGCAAGGCCGAGACATACCAGATCAAGAACGTCCGTTGGCACGATCACAGCGCGGATCAGAACCCGCGAGTTTCGCCCATCCTCGTACAGAATGCTAATGGCCCTTGCCCTCTTCTTGCCTTGGTCAACGCGCTTACACTTACAACTCCATTGTCTCTATCAGAAACGGCCTTGATAGAAGTCCTGCGCTCTCGAGAGCAAATCAGTCTCGGGTACTTACTGGACGCGGTCGTCGATGAGCTGATGAGGCGAACACAAGAAGCTTTGCCTGATGTATCTCAGTTGTATGCCTTTTTGAAGGGTCTTCACACAGGAATGAACGTAAATCCACGTTTCGTTCCCACGCCTGAAATCATCAAGGCCTTTAAGCGCACTTCCTTGACTCATTTACACCCGACCGAACGCGACGACTTGATTCCTGGAACCTTCGAAGACACTAGAGAGATGGCGCTCTATGCTGCTTTTGCTATTCCGCTTATCCACGGGTGGCTGCCCACTAAGAATGATCCGGCTTACCCTGCTTTTGAGCGCCAGGCCGCCTCTTTTGAAGACGTGCAGACGCTCCTGTTCCGAGACGAGGAGCTGCAGGAAAGGTTGGGGGAACTGACGGAAGAGGAGGAGCTGGTATACTCAGACATACAGTCGATCAAGGCGTTTCTGGAGACTTCAGCCACACAGCTAACGCCATCTGGACTCGAGGTCATCACAAAGGCCATGAAGCCCGGCTCTTTTGCCATTCTGTTCAGAAACGATCACTTTTCAACACTGTACAGGCACCCTGCTACACAGCAACTCCTGGTCCTCGTCACCGACGCAGGCTACGCCACACACGACGAAATTGTTTGGGAATCCCTAGCCGACGTGAATGGCGAACGCACGGAATACTATTCTGGCGATTTCAGGATCGTGGGCGGGGAGCAACCGCAAGGGAACTCCAGGGGACAACCTACTTCGAGGAACAATGCCCATAACCGACCGAGAATCGACACGAGTAGTGCCAATGAAGGGGGCTGGACTACTGTGCCCGGCCGCGGCCGCAACAAGCATCTCGAGGCTCCGGCGCAAGGTGACGAGATGCCCCTGTCGCCCAATCATGAGCAGGAGGATCGAGATCTTGCCCTCGCGCTTCAGTTGCAGGAAGAGGAAGAACAACGCCATCGGGCAGAGCAGTCGGCTCGCCGGCGCGAGAGTCAGCTTAGCGAGCAGTATATTGAGCAGCAGGCCAGATTGCAACAAGGGCCCACGACTAGACGTGCAGCCGACAGGCAGGCTGCCCGAACCGGCACCGGTGCACGCAGCAACAGCAATGGCAACTCGACTGCTTCTCGCGGTAGCCGTCGGAATTCTAGCACTAACGTGAACAGTGCTGCAGTACCGCCCACGTCGGGTCGGCAGCCTGGGCAACCGCCCCAGCTGGTGCGACCACTGGTTCCGCCGACGGTTCCTGCTCGTCGACAAGGCGTGAATCGGCCGGCTGACGAAGGCATGGATGATGCCCCGCCGACGTATGAGCAGGCGCAGGCGGCTGCCAAGTATGAACCACCTCCTGGGCACCCTCACCATCATGCGAGCAGTCCTGTCAATAGACAAGGCAATGGGGGTGCTGGACCGTCATTCCCGCTGTCGCCTTCGCGGCCAGGTATGGGCGGCGGTCGCGGGCGCGTGCTGGGACCCGGCGGCGTTGTAGGAAGTTCGCAAGGAGGGAGGGAAAGGGATTGCATCGTAATGTGAGCAGAAGAAGCTCCGGTGCTTTTTATGATTGCGGCGTTTTCGTGTCATTTGAATTCTTGCGCAGAGCATGGACAGACTTCGACTCTGACAAGCAGAGTTGACAAAGCTTTTTGCTGTACAAACATTTCCTCTCAGCGGGCGGCGTTGGAAATAGTGGCTTTATAGGATCGATAGCTGATGAATGGAAGAAGAATCATGGCCCTACAGCTTATGTTGGGATCTCTAAATATTCTTGTGAAATAAGTCAACAAATAATTAAGGGACTTCTACTCCGTAGTTTTTGACATGTTCCTGAAGCTGTGGTGGAGGCTGCAAGGGGTAGCTGTACAGGATGCTCAGGAACCTCCCCGATTTGCAGAGCAGCTCTTGCAACCCCACCAATTGCTAAGGCAAATGGGGAAAGCGGTCTGGCAAGCCGTGGCTTCAACGCGTCGCAGGCCCAAGACCCGGAGCTCCCGCCGCCAATTCCACCCAAGCTGCTTGATGTCATTGATTTTGTGTCGCATTTTCCACATACCTACAATCAACGGTGGAAAGCTTGGGAAGGAGGGAAAGCGCACCACGCTACAATACCTTGTTCTTCTGTATTTCCTTGACTCATTCTGCTCTCTGCTACTCTATTTCCTCTCTTTCTCTGCAATTGGATCGTCCTTTACCAGTCGAGAAGGAACCGAAAATGCCCCTGATTGAGGGGTGGCTCCCGCCGACGCGGGAGAACTGGCAGACTATCACTACTGTGTGGCAGCTTTCCTGGCCTGTGGTATGCAACACCAACTCCTTTGAGCCATTTGGTCAATTCAATCGTGGCTAACCTTTGCTGACTTTTCGATGTTTGTATAGTTCGGCTCTCTGCAGTATGTCATCAATTGGTACGGCATGGGCAAGACCTCGGTCACGAGCCGCCTCAACATCCCCGGCCGCCTGGCGTGGTTCCTGATGGAGATTCCGGGCGTCACGACGTTGTTGTACATCATGAACACCCTGCCGCGACAGGTCGGGATTGACGATCTGCCGTGGCAGAATAAGGTGCTCGCTGGGTTATTTGTACGATCTTCCGTCCCTCTTCCTGATTGCCTATCACTAGATCTACGTCGACTGACAAGTGGGCGCCACTGCAGACCATCCACTACGCCTACCGTGCCGTCCTATTTCCGATCCTCCAACCCTCAATGTCCCCGATCCACGTCGTCGTCGCCTCTTCGGCCGTCCTCTTCCAGCTCATGAATGCGACATGCCTGGGAAGCTATCTCGCCGCCTACGGCCCCACCACAGCCTCAGCATGGGACTCTGCCCTCGGCCGCGGCGGCATCGCGCAGTTTGTCGTGGGCATTGCCGTCTTCTACGTCGGCTTGACGCTCAACTACTTCCACGACGAGGAGCTGCGCGAGATCCGCAGGACGGAGCAGCGGCGCCAGGCCAAGATTGCGAAGCAACAGAAGCTGGATGGTAATACAGATATGGCAAAGGGCGTGGATAAGCATTATCGGCTGCCTGACACGATGCTGTTTCGGTATATGCTGTACCCGCATTACTTTTGCGAGTGGGTGGAGTGGTTTGGATTCTGGATGGCGAGCGGGTGGAGCGTACCCGGAAGGGCGTTCTTTTTGAATGAGATCTTTGTCATGTTTCCGAGGGCGAGGAGCGGGAGGCGGTGGTATGTTGGGCAGTTTGGGGAGGAAAAGGTTGGGAAGAAGTGGACTATTATTCCGGGGGTTTATTGAGGGTCTGGCTCATTGGATAACTAAATTCCATGTGTTGATTCGCCTGAAGGGCTGCAGACGCTATTCAAGACTTTTGCTACTGTTTGTGCCCAAGTGTATCTCCGAACGATGGTCAGGATAAGCTTTTCGACGACCAGCGAGGGTTCAATCTCTGCATCTCTTGCTCTCAGGGTACCTACCTGTCTTCTCTTCACCTGGATGGCAGCTCGAAAGCATTTTCTTCCCCCCTAAAGCCAACGAGCTGCTATCGGAGAAACACTTAGTTGATAGTACTTCAGGGCGGTTCCCGCGAGAGTGATTCCAACTGATATCTTACTCCAAGCCTTTAGATATATCGGTTTACATGCTAACCTATCCAACGGCAAGCTGAAGCAGATTCGACACTCACGAGAAGTTTTGGCGCCAGACACGAAACAAGAGGTTAACAGCAACTAGTCGTCATTGACAACGATGTCTATCAACCGGCTTCCTACCGAGACTCTATTTCTTATCTTCGGCCACCTTGTTGACGAACTCCTCCCCTTTCCAGGCGACGATGTCAAAGTGCTAGAATATAGACAAGCGTCCTCGCGCTACATGGGACATTACCGGAGATCCGTAGCCCTCGAAGAGCATCTCAATACCGAGGGCCCACGGAGTAGAGAGGATATACTCAGCCTGGCTCGGGTCAACGGCCGATTTTACGATATCTGTGCTGAGCTTCTCTACAGACGTATCATCGTCACGGATGGCAAGGGGTTTAGAAACTCACGCAAGCTACAAACCACACTGACGTCATCAGGAGCCGAGCTCCAGAAAAGGGTTATGCAACTGCGTATAGGCTATGATCACGACTACGATATGAGGCTAAGTGTGCCACCAGTACTCTTTGATCCCTCCGGATTGACCCGACTGAGGACTCTAGAGCTCTCCGGGGACGTAGGAGGCTGTAGGCGGCGATATCCACGGTCCCTAGCACACTGGTTCAGTGCCATCCCCAAGCTTCCGAGTCTCGAGCGTCTCGTGTTGAGATGCCTGAGCTGTGTGGTCTACGACTTCATAGAGGCCAGTATACCCGCCTTGCCGCGGGTCACGGATCTGTGTCTTTACGGCTGCGATTTTTCCACAGGCAGCTTCTGTACACAAAAGGACTTCTTTCTATGCTTCCCGGCGCTGCGTACCCTTACCATCGGAGCGAGATGGAAAACGGGGCTCCCGAACGACGCTCACGCCTTTGCGCCGTTTGCAGACACGTTGGAGGCGTTTACTTGGTACGATATGGGAGCCTCGTCGCCCTGGCCGACGAGGGATCTTTCAATATTGGCGTACCCTCTACAGGCGCGAGGGCTCAGGGCGGTAAAGCACCTCAAGGTGACGAGTCTGCTCGAGCTCATGTGCGGCGAAACGGACGGCTGCGCGGCTGGAAAGACTGTTGAGACGATTGAGCTTCTCGATGGCATCTTTGACCTTAGACATGTGCCTCAGCTGCTGACGAAGGATGGGAGATGGAACGGACTTTATGAATCTGCTTCGCCGGAGTCTTCGCCATATTATTCTTCGTCTTCCCTAAGCTCGGAGGAGACGATTTCGGAAGAGATGGAGATGCTGCTCAAGTTCCTGTTCAGACAATGTCGGGATGTGTATAGGCAGGTCAGAGTTCTTGACATTCGGGTCATTGATGATAATGATGACACGTATAGAACGGACGAAGAGAGAGACTTCTTGCGCAAGCTTGCACTGGATTATGTCGGGATTTTCAAAGAGGAACTTGACGTCAGGGTTTGTCTGGTTGAAGGATTCGAGGGATCGCCCCGATGAGGATATGTACTGGCTGCCATGGACCCCATATTTAGTTCGACAATAGATACCTGTATCAATGATGACATCCGAAGAGCATAATTCACCAAATCTATGCACATGAGACATGGGTGATTAGTGGGCTTGCTTGCGATTGAGAATAACGGTGGAGATGGCATCTCAAGGGGACGCGTTCTAAGCCTTCAAGGTTACCATCTAGTCTCGGCAAAGATGATGCCCCAGCCAACTGCAATAGAGATCAACTGCGATCAAAGGGTATCAGTAATAAGTAGTCGAAGTACTGAGCCTTGTTATCTAGAAATCAACAGAGTTCCTCCTCAGGGTGCAGGGCCGCCGTAGGCAACCTCCACAACTATGTATGTGTCGGAATGAGGTCAGCACCGCCCACCTTGAGGGTTAAGTAAAAGCATGATTCTTTATTGTACTCATCTTTTTCGATATAAGGACGTACATATCCTCCTGCAGGTTGAAATAGAGGCACCCATATCCTATTGAAGGTCGACATAAAAGCCAACCATTCGCAATAGAACCAACACACGGATCTCAAGACACATCACCGAAATGCAATCTTTTCATTCACATCCGCAGAGCCAGAATACCTTGTCAGATAAGATGGTTCCGGTCACGTTGAATTTTCTGCCATATGAGCTGCTGCTCATCATTGCAGAGAAGCTTATCGAGGACGACCTTTTCCCTAGTTACAAGACCGAGTGTACATGTGAGACTTCGACCCAACAAATAGATCGATACTGGAGAATTTCGCACCAGTTCGGGAACCGCTACCCTGTCGAACACGAAGAAATGCCATACATACCGGACGTTGGAGCGGGCCTCGTTAGTCTAGCGAGAGCCGGGAATCGGCGGCTGTTAGGAGCTTGTTACGAGGCTCTCTACAAGAACCCTATTTCTGGGCGAGGCTTCCTTGGCTTTGGGGATACTCTGGGATGCATCAACCCAGCATACCAAAACAAAATGTAACACCTAAAAATGTTTAAGAGCCCCAATGATGGACTTGAATGGGATTGCATGTTGAGAAAGGGCCTATTTGCATATGAAGATGTCACCTGCAGCGACTTTGCCAAGGCAATCTTGTTGAAGCTACAAGGCTTGAAGAGCCTCGATATCTCCTGCTATGAAACATACATTATACCGGTTTGAATCCCAATGCTGTCGTCTATGCCTCCATTGAAGCACTTGGCACTGAGAGATTGTCTCAGACTCGAGGGAGACAGTTTCCCTTATCTCCCCTCACTTGTCGAGGCGCACTTTGACCATTGCGAGTTACCCGAAAACGAAATTTTGAACGTATGCCTTCGCTCAAAGTGCTCGTCATCGACAATGACTACTGCCTCGATGATGAGAATACAGAAGTCTGCGATGTAGACCCTCTTGCCGAAACCGTCGAGACACGTGGCTGGCTCGTCGAAGGGCCTGCACATTGTTATCATTATCCTTTACGCCAGTTTCGGCGGTTGAAGCATCTCAAGGTGAATCTGATTCGTGATCTTTTTGGAGCACTCAGATACAAAGAACTTCCGAGTTACGACGGTTTTCCGAATCTTGCGGCGACTGTCGAGGCCATTGAGTTCACCTCGCGAATAACCTCGTGAATAACCTCGCATGTAACCGGTGGAGCCCCGAATGCACCTGCCCTGTACTATTGGAATTGGCAAAAGAGTATGGAAGAGCTTCGGTACACCATGAATATGATGGGGGAGTGTTGTCGGAAAGAATGGTGGAAGGTTCGGCTTATTGGCATCAGGTTGCTCGCTCTTTCCTACCGCCGCGAGTGTTCAGGTTATGATGGTCTCCAGCTTCTCGAGTGTGTCAAAAGGCGCTTTCAGCAGGAGCTTTGTACTGAGTTGTTGATTTTAATAAGGCTAAAGGGCTCTCGACTACTATGTTATCGACCAGAAGGTCTGGGCGAACGATGTCTCGTGCACATCATGGACGGGCGACGTTGTAGTGGAAGCAGAGAACTTTTGAATCAGACAGCAGCCCCGAAATTAGGCACCGCAAGAAATAAGGCTTAAGATTTAGAAACAATAATAGGGAAATTTGCAATCATTGCGTCACTTCGAAGCAAGGACGGAACAAGTAGCGCGATTTCTCTCCCTGTCAAGAAAGCTGCCAACCTCGCATTTAAACGTCTAACAGAAGCAGCGCTTCCATGCAAATCCTTGAGAACAACCAGCCTGGACTTCATCGACAGACATCGGACGTAGAATGCAAAATGCACGTGAGGAACTGCCTTGCCGATTACTACATGTGGTACACGATCGAATGACGCTTGGAAACGAGAAGCGAGGCCGCTGGAAAACACTGACATGTTTCATGATAAACACCAAAGAACGAGTCTAATCAGAACGAAGGGGCGGATCCTGACCTGCTACAAACTCTAAGCTAGTCATGCAGAGCTGGCCTTGCAGTTTTACCCCAACTTTTATAAGACGTCGAGGAATCGCAGCGGCGTCTCGGACCGGGGAAATGAAATTTCAAATCCCCGCATCCCAGGACTTGATCGTCTCCGACAAAAAAAGAAATTCGCTTCCAACAATGCATTTGACATATCCCGACCTCGTGCGACGGCTCTACGACCTTGAACGTCTTGCTGAATCCCCATTGCCCGGAGAGCGCGGCGGGTGTATGTCGAGCTATGACCGGGCCTCACGCTATGACCCAAAGGAAGACAAGTACATTGACTGGGACGCCAACGACGATGGGAGAGGCATCATTCGCGAAGAAGGCGAGTGGGTAGTTGCCTTTGAGCAGCAGGGTCCCGGAGTCATCTGGCGGACCTGGTCCGCGATGCCGGATGTCGGCCGTATCCAGATCTTCATTGACGACGAGCACGATGACAAGCCTGTTGTGGACATGCCCTTCCGGGATCTTTTCGATCGGTTTCAAGGGATGCCACACAACTTCCCCTCGATAACGCCCACTCTGTCGAGAGGACGTAACTGCTTCATTCCCATTCCGTACAACAAGTATGCCAAGATCCGCCTCGGGCCTGGCTGGGGAGCGTATTATCATTTCACTTACACCTCATTCCCCAAACACACTACCCTTCCGCACTTTGACGGCAACTTTGATCGGGAGGCTTGTCTGGCATTGGCCGCAGCTGACCGCCAACTGAGTCAACGTGGTTGGTCCGCACTGCCTCGGTCAAAGGGCGACACGATGGAAACATTGACTGTCACCATCAAACCGGGTAAGAGCCATACTGTTCGGGAGTTGACGGGCAACCGAGCAATCACTGGCATGCGCGTGGTGCCGTTGGACCTTGTCCAGGACTCTCATCACGTCGCTCATATTCTCCGGGAGCTCGCTATCCAGATCACTTGGGATCATGACAAGTCTCCAAGTGTCTGGGCACCACTGGGTGACTTCTTTGGTAGCGTTCCGGGCATCCAGACCTACCGCTCCTTGCCTCAGGGCTCAACAGACGGGGGTGGTTTCTACAGTCACTGGTTCATGCCATTCTCCGATCGCGCTGAGATCAAGCTGGTCAATGATGGCAAGAAGGAGCAGAAGCTATTCTTCACCATCTGCCACCGCCCACTGGAACAGTCTGCGAAGCACATGCTTCGGTTCCACGCCAAGTGGCACCGAGATGCCTTTCTCGAGAAGCCGAAGAAAGAGGGCCGCGAAATCGACTGGCCTTTATTAATGTTAGATAACGGCCCTGGAAGATTCTGCGGCGTGCAGATGCACGTGTGGAACCGCTGGAAAGATCCCAAGGTCCCATCAAAGGACTGGTGGTACGGCGTCGGCGGCGACAAGTCTATCGACTGGTGGTGGGGCGAGGGAGATGAGAAGTTCTTCGTCGACGGCGAAAAGTTCCCGTCAACCTTTGGCACCGGTTCAGAAGATTATGTGGGCTACGCGTGGGCGGCCGAACCGCCATTTCCGACTTTTGACAGCGCTTATGCCTGCCAACCTTACATTGAGCTTGATGCTAACGGGCATACATCAGTCTGTCGCTTTCACGTGTGCGATGACGTGCCTTTTCACAAAAGCTTCGAGGCCTACATTGAGAAGTATAAGCCCAATGACTGGGGCTCGGGCAACAAATGTCTATACGCCGTGGTTGCTTACTGGTATCAGAAGGCTGGGGGCCATGATGCGTACGAGAGCGTGTCAGTAAAGGAGCGCTATCTCCAAGTAAAGGAAAACTCCGAGCGAGTCGGTGACGGAGGTGGGGAAGAGTTATGAAATCTTATCGGATCATGTAGTTAAGTGTGCTGTCTTCAATTGACGATACGAGCTGTACGCAGTTTACTGTGGATTACGACGCTGCTCTCTTCCAGTTGCTGTATTATTCTTAGTGTCACACAAACTCTGGAGTTAATTTCTTCAGACTTTGTTATGCCCACTTGTCAGTCGAATGTGAGTGGACCACTAGGTACAGGGCATCAAGGGTCACCGGCGCAAACCGAACGGCGAGCAGAAACTCAAATCCAGGGAAATTGAATGGCCGCTGTCGGCATTTTATAAGTAACAGATTGAAGATGAGCAAACCTTCGCTCTCGTTTCTCACGTCATCAAATTTTCCGCGTAAACCTTTCTGCATCATGTCACCAAACACTTCTCATCTCCACTGATACGACCACACAACCAAAGCTGCGTCGTAGTGATCTCGCTTCCAACATGGAACTGTTCAGATGACTTACAGGATGATAGCAGACACCTCACCGATGATGGGTTTCATCAATCCTCCGTTCCATCCACACTAGCCCGCCAGTCAGGGAAACCGAGCGTCACTAGCATGCCTCTGCTTGTTTGCGGCGACCAAGTATCAGACAAGCTTTCCGGCGGGAGGGCAAGTGGATGCTTGAGCGACGGGGTAGCCGCGCGGATGGGGCGTTCTGAAGCTTAGCAGCCCCGCAAGAATCGACTAAAATCAACCCGGTAAGGCAAAGGGATGCGACACAACATGGGGGGACCCTGAGTTCCATCACCACGGACTGTCATTTTCAGTTGTACATAGTTCCGATGGTCCAGCTCATGACAAGTGGCAATAGGGAAGGATATTTCGCCTGTGGGGGAGACGCAATCACGGCTAACATAGACCCGTCCAAACGGCTTCTACGGAGGGCGAGCGTTTCAGCGGTAAAGTTAATATCATGAGTTGAACCCCAGCAATTCACATTTTCGAAACAGTCAATGTCTATCGGCATCTATGATGAGCTGACGATAAGGCATAGCCCCTCCGACATAGTCTATCTATCCTGAACTAGAAATCGGACAAGCATTTGTAAGTTGATAGGCGGACCATGCTGCAGAAACCTACGGGCCCGGTCGGCGCAGAACAGGCATGTTGGTGGCTATGGTATAAAGGGGAAGTGAGCGCCATCCCAACCACCGGCGAACAGTTGACTTTGGTGGAATAACTTCCTTGGGATGCAACCTTTTGTGGGAGGATAATGGACGACGGCACACCATGATATTGACGAAACCTTTTCCTCCGTCGGCCAGAGAGGCTCGGTGGTTGTATTTGAGCTGTCTGAGTGGTATTGTGGTGTTGGTGGTGTTCTTCAGCCATACTCTGTGGCCACATTTCGATATTCACTCTTATGACTTATCTGGAGAAAGGACTGGAACGCAAACAAGTCATGCAAATCCGTATGACCAAGATGGCGCAATTGACAAAGAAGAGGATGAGATGTATTATCTTGGATCGAAAAAGAACGAAACATCAGAATCACATAGGCTACAGGAGATGAAGTACGCCGTCATTCTCCCAACATTTGTGAGTTCCGGTCATTGGGGGTGAAGAGATAATAATTGCTAATCGAGCGTAGAGTGGACACATGCCTCTTGCGATGGAGTTCCTGCAGTCTTATATGTGCCTTTGTACAGATCAGTCAAAAATCGATTTCCACGTCATCGTGTCAGATTCAAATGAGGTCGTAATGTTCCAAGATGCGATGAAAAAGTTGAAGCCCTGTGGGCCAACCTACAGCATTTTCCCGACGCCAGCGATGAACATCAACGGGCCGAAACCGAAAATCAACATCAGCAACATGTTCGACATTCTACCCCCCGTCTTTCACTCCATGACGACGGGGAAAATCACAGGCAATGATACGTCGGCGCTTCTAAAAGAACGTGGAAAATACCAATACCAGACAATCAAGAAGATGTCAGCAGCACTGGAGCTCGATTACGACTACGCGCTCTGGCTGGACTCCGAGGCTATCGCCGTGCAGCCGTTCAGCATGCGCCAAACCTTTGATGCTTACGTCAAGGACCCTACGATTTGGAGGTCGAGAATGACCAATGACGATTTCATGCGGAGACTCATCGGCGCCGCGGCAAACGTTCTAGATCGATCGATGGACTCATTCGGACCCGCCTTTTGGAACCTGGAGAGTGTGGAATGGATTTTCGAGAAGAACATGATCAAGGATCTGGTTCAGTATGTTGAAAAGGTTCAAAAACAAGACTTTTGGACTGCGTGGGTCACGCATGGTGGACCGTTCGAGGTGAACCTTCTCAACATGCATATCCAAGCACGAAAGCTGGAGACGACGGACCCCCTATTCACCAAATACCGGATCATCGAGACTGAACGAGAGATGCAGAAATACGGCATGGGTAAGTCATGCATTCCAACCATACTCCAGCCAGCTATTATCTATGACGGAGGACTGATCGTTTCAAAAGTTGAACCAGCAAAAGCTGTGATCGACGCCATGACAGGAACTGGCCTCCTAGAGAGGGGCTACAAGTTGTTGGCAGTCCCAGAAATAGTACCAAACTTTTCCTCCATGCTACGCGAAAATGGTCAGACTCTCTTTCGACTCGACAATCTCGACGTTGGTCCACCAGAAGCCATCGATCGGTTTCTGTTGGAGACGCCGATAAACATCATATGTTCGGGAGCTCCGCCGTTGCATAGTTGGTGGGAAGAGCGGAAGAAGAGCATTTAGATAGCGAGTTTTGATCAATAATACCCCATTTGTTTTGCTACTTCAATTCCATCTTCATTAAATTGTGCCATGAACCTATGATTTTATTAGAGAGGCCTCCTAGCATGCAAATCATTCACGATAGCTTCGCGCCCGCTATAAGAGACGAGAGGGAAGTGCTCTGGTTCTCCTGATTCCTCGGCCTAGCACCTCAAAGTAACGCGAGACACATGCCCAACAGTGCTATTGCCAGATGACACAGCGCCCGTCACGTACAAAACCTTGCGAGGGTGGTGCAAGTCCAGAGCTACCGAAGATGCAGCTCCGAGAAGGGGCGAGGATGCAACAACGGTCTTTCCTCCGTGTACCAAATCAATTCCGAGAACCTCCAGAGGACCGTTGGTGGCAACATAGGCAGTCTTACCGTCTTTCGACAAAGCAAAGTCGTCACCAAAGGTGATGTTGGTAGCCAGAGTCTCCGCGGGGCCAGTGGCTGTTCCGGTTGTGAGAGAGATGGGGACTCTGCCGAATAGGCCTTGGTCCAAGCTCACGAAATAAAGTTTGTTGCCCCGAATGCGAATCCCGTTGACGGCGACGCCAATGCTGGAATTCGAAGATACTGGAGCCATCTCTGGCTCAGCAAGAACAGTCTCAACGAGCTTGGTGTTTACGTTAAGTCGAAGGACGGTTCCACGGCCAGAGTCGGATATGAGCAGGTTCTGAGTATCATTCTTGGCCAAACGTGCCATGCCGTTGAGTTGAAGAGCGGATGGGACAAGCGTGATGAGAGAAAGCACAGCTGGCTGGAGCACAGTCCCGTTGCGCGAGGTGCGGAATTTACGGAGGTCGACTTTCCACAAGCCGTTCGAGTTTTCGGTTGAGGTCAGATTCGAACCGAGGACGTAGAAAACATCCTTTTCGCCGAGTTCGGTGATTCCAAGGAGACTGTTAACGCCGTCGATGGTGACAACAGGAATCGGCGCATGTTTGGCTTCAGGTGACAGGTCGAAAAGGGTCGGAGAGGCCGTGGAGGTGACTAAGAGGTTTCCATTCTCCCGAACCGCAATGTTCTCGAGTGATCGTGCTCCGGGGACGGACTGCAATGACGAGACCTCACTTGCGTTCCGCCAATCGCAAGCAGTAGTAGGGGCCGATGAGGCTGGTGAGAGCAGGAGAGCTGCCAGGCCCAACAACTGGAAACCGACCAGTCGCAATGCCATTATGTTGGTCGATTAAGGATAGGGTGAGAGTAGGGTAGCGAAACGAGCGAGATTATTAGAAGAAAGATTAGAATATCCAGTGTGGCGGAGTACCATATTTCAAAGATTCCTGAGCTTCATGAAGTTGGAGATAGTATTACTAATGCCGAAGCTGTCAGCGCGAAAAGGAGGTAGTTAATTCGTAAAGTGGATGGCCAAGGCCCACTGCGGAATAGTGACATCAATTAGCTGCTTGTTCATCGATCACGTCAAACCGTGAATACAAGCTCCTTCCCCTTGCAGGCATGATTCGGCCGAGTGGGTTCGGCAATGGTAGTGTACGGATATATCTAGAATCCGGTTTCTAGTAAAGCTGCTGCGGACAGATGGCATATATAATCGCTCTTCAGATTAGTATGAAGCCGAGGGCCAACTACGTTGAAACTCGAGACAGATAATATGCCGAACTACTGAAAGACATTCATCGACCATGGGGCAGTCCAGGCTGTTCTTGAGTAAAAATATTTGCTCTGTTGCTAGGATGCCGCTTCGCCGATGCTTCAGCAGGTAATATTCCGGCGAAAGTGGTCTTCTCTGACTTAGCGTCTCCGAAGCGACGGGATGTCAGCAGTATTGTTATGCGACTCATGCACTGACCAAGCTTTCAGACCGAATGCGACTTATACAAAGACTTTGGAGAGTTTACCTCAGCTTACCTACCATCCTTAAATCCAGGACTTCGGAGAAGAATGAATTATTTCCGTGTAAGTAAAAGTTGTTCATTGGCTCGGGCACAATTTTGAAGTGTTTGGCAAAGTTTCGTGGCGCCATATTGTGGGACGAAGATCATTGGATCCACGTTCTAGTTGTCAGCCAGTCGCATGTTATCGCCGTAACTCCGTAGCCATGTTGTTTTCGCTGCAGTTACGTCACTGGGAATGGACTCACTAACGCATCTTAAATGACCTCGAAGCCAAGATCTTGTTCTGTTATTGAAGTAGCAGATCATTCATCTTTATGAAATCACGTCAAAAGCAACGCTACTAATACGACCACAACCAAAATCGATCAAAATGGCCAAGACTTTCCAATTCCAGGACATCCAAGTTAACTCGCCAGGCTTCGGCGCCATGGGCCTGAGTTTCGGCCTGGGAAGCAATCTGAGCTTGGAAGAAGCTGAACCCGTTCTACTTAAGGCAATTGAGCTCGGGTGCACATTCTGGGATACAGCAGTAAGTCAATGACTCTCACGCAGGCCCCTCAACACCATTACGCATGATCTCCATATACACATATGCTTTCCACGAGGCACTAACCTCTTTGCGACTAGGTTGTTTACCAGGCTGGTGTTAACGAGAAGCTTCTTGGCGACTTCATCAGAAAGCACAACGTGCGGGACAAGGTGTTCAGTCAGTGCTTTCGAAGTATTCTCACTTCATTGACTACAACTGACTTTCCTCTTCCAGTCGCTTCCAAGTGTGGATTTGACGTTTTTGGCTCCGGCGGTATCACCAACTCTGCTTCTCACATCAAGCAGTACATCGAGGGCACTATCGAGAGACTTGGTTTCACTCCTGACCTCTACTACCTTCATCGCATTGATCCCAGTAAGCTTCCAAGGCATGGAGGAAGATGAGAGGAAATGTTCACTGACAGGTACCTTACTTAGACACGCCCCTCGAGGAGTCCATCACAGCGCTCGATGAGATCCGCAAGGCGGGCAAGACGAAGTACATCGGTCTTTCTGAGTGCTCAGCGGCCACCCTTCGCAAGGCCAACTCAAGTAAGTCCCACTCTTAGAAGTATTCAGACCCCCCACTAACAATCCGTAGTTGCCAAGATCGATGCGCTTCAAGCCGAGTACTCAGCTTTCGAGACCATCCACGAGACTGACGGTTTGATTGAAGCTGCAAAGGAGCTCGGAGTTGCATACGTGGCTTACAGCCCCCTGGGTCACGGATGGCTCGTTGATGACTTCCAGTACAAGAGCCCAGACGACTTTGCACCCAACGATTTCCGTCGTGGAAGTGAGTTACAACTGGAAACCAGAAACTCTGTCTAACAAACGCTGACAACTCGATGCAAAGGTCCCAAGTTCCAAGGCGAGAACTTCTACAAGAACAAGGCTATTGTTGATGAGATCAAGAAGCTTGCTGTGCGCAAGGGAGTCACGCTGCCTCAGATTGCCCTTGCCTGGGTTGCCGCTCAGGGAATGATTCCTATTCCTGGCACAACAAAGGCCAAGAGATTAGAAGAGAACTGGGTATCAAGAGACGTTGTTTTCTCCGACGAGGAGAGGGTGGAGATGCGGAAGATTATCGATGCGGCGAAGCCGCATGGAAACAGATACAACCCAACCCAGCAGGCTATGGTTGGCCACTAAGCTGGATGTGCGATATATGAAGCTATGAAAATTCGTTCATGACTGAAAGCACTTTCGAGATTTTTATCGAGCGAGTGACCTTCTGATAGTAAGAAACAGTACACATCACCGCCACTGACGACACAAGAAAAACCACATTGAACCTATATGATATAGAAGGTTCTTTGTCGAGCTTTCTCGACCCATTGCTTGTCCCACATGCCAATCTCGAAAAAGCCAACTCTTTGTACCACCGGACCAGGCCTCGAATGCCATCGTGAGCTAAGTCCAGCCATGGACTTGTAAGGCGTCTCCAATAAAACTAGACCAATCTCGACCAAGTTTTCGTTGTTGAACAGACTCTTGGAGTTGCCGAGTCTCAGGCAATATAATTTTGTCTTTGGAAGCTGAGTTGGGCTCGTATCCATGATGATGACGCCGCCGGCCGATAGCTCTGACCGCCTATTAATTTTGAACGGATTGGTGCTTTGCTTGAACATTGAATAGCACTTGGGAATTCCAGTCACAATAATCGAACCTTTGATGAGATGTTTTTCGGATATCGTAGTCTCAACAGTGTAGTTTGTGAGGCCAATAATACCCCCTTCGAGCTCCCCAAACTCGAAGTCAGTCTTGAGAGAGGTGCGGCCGAAGAATGGTTCGAGAGGCGTGTCAGGAACCGACACGTTGTCGAAATTCTTAGAATTCGGATTGAGATATTCCATACCGCCCATTCCGATCACAGTCGGCTTTTGGGAGGAATTTTTGGCGTAAGGGTACCGCACACGACCATCAACTGATATCCATGACCAGGACGGAAGCCACACGGATAGGGGCTCGGGTTGTGTTTCCGGTATAGCATTGAATGTCGTGGAATTCCTGAGGGGCGGGGGCCAGCCTTTGTCTTTCGCTGGTCTATGTGTACCAAGGTCGAACGACGGCTTCCATGAAAGCCCTCTTGCAAGATCACAAAACCACATTCCAGCTACGTAACTGCTGAGAGAACGGTCGGGCCGGTGTATGTTTTGCTGAAAGTGCGCTGCTACACCGGCAATCGCGGGAAGTCGATCTTCCGGTTTGCTGAGAGATTTGCCAGAATAAGCCTCAACGACGCGCAGCCAGTCATCTAACCATGGCTGAACCCGCTCGAGGCTATTGTATAGCATTATTCTGTCGGTTATTCGAGCCCAAGTTACGCGGAAGGGCGGAGTCATAAATCGGGGTTCTGATCGAGTAAACCAGCTGCTGATCTCAGGGTATGCCTCGGATGCGATGGACGCTCGGCATTCCCAGAGTACTTGACTCTTGGCGAAGTAGACAATTCTTTTCGACAGCTGCCTCTCCTGGAAGCACCAGCCACGGGAGAACAGGGGCCCATTGGTCACCGACTGGGCCCAGTCTGCCATGTAGGGCTGGAAGGTAACTGACACCTTGGTCTTCACTTCGTTAAAAGTCTTTGTACAGGGTCGTACGGGCATATTTGGGTTGGATCCTCGAGGGAGGAAGCAACCGCCACTCCCATCTTTCGAGTCCGATGCGACGAGAGTGCAGATAGCCATGGAGTAGATAATTTCCATCAGTGGCAGCTCGCGGTCCTTGTCGGCCTTGTCGTCTTGAACTATACACAAAGAATCGATCCAGAGCCACCCAATATTAAGCTCTCTAGCGATCTTGACGGCATGCTGGAACGTTGGAGATAACTCATCGTGACGAAGACCAACACGCAGCATCTGCTCCAGATTCGCCTTTGTCGTTTGTGGCACACTTTTGGGATCTCCCCAGCAGTGGCTCAACGCGGTGTAAGAAGGCCCGAAGCCGCCTTCATCTCGCTTCAGACCGGCCGAGAGCACCAGGACAATGTTCTCGCCTTTCTCGCCGACACGCAGCAGTCTTGTAGGCGAAGCAAATTCGTGCTCCAAAACAAGTTCTCCCACGTACGCGCATTTATCGCGGTGCCTTTTCTGGCATTCATCCAGCCAGAAGTTCAGAAGCTGAAACACCTTGGGGGAGTCCGCTTGTGCCGCCAAGGGGGAAAAGTGCTTCTCAGCTGGCTCAAAGTCCTTCGTTTGGCTATATAAGTCCCAATTCGTTACGTGCTTCCCCGGTTTCTTGGAAATAGCAGCAGAGTGGATATTGAAGCGGAGATGAGTGACGCAATTACCCCAGGTCAGCTTCAAAAGAGGACCAGGCCTTTGATCCGGAGAACTGTCATGGGCGGGAGTAGTAATGTGCTCCTCGTCAGGTCTGAGCACTGAGTAATCCGCTACCTTGGGTTGCCAATACCCGGGCCATGAGGTAGTCCATAGGGTCCTGAGAGCAATTCCGTTCTTGTCAATTGTGACTCCAGAGTCGCCTTTCTGCCCTGCCTCAAGGGCATCGAATATCAAGGTACAGAAATGGCACCCTTGTTGAGCCGAAAGCTGGATTCTCGCAGCGGCCCCGTCACCGCTGTAGAATGAATGCGAGATTCTCGAGCCTGGTTCGAATAACTTTCTCGGTAGTTTCAAGCATTCAGTGCATGATCCCTTATGAGACTGTTCATTTGCTCCAGCCATGGGTGATAAACTCAGCTCAGCCATGTGATTAGGCTTGCGTAAGCGGAACTGTCATCGTCTGGTGAATGATCCAAGTGTTCAAGTACGAGAAATAATTTAAAACTAACGGTAGCCTAAAGATGATGGGCAAAATGTTTTTTTATTAATTGCAATATTAACCAAATGGTTCGCCATTGCCTGCTGTAGCCTACCGGCCTGTCAAAGTTTCTGCCTGGCATACTGCCTTTTGGGAAACGGCCCAATTCCAACTGGTCAGCGACTTCTGGGGTGGCTGCACAGGAAGCTCAGCTCCTGCAAGCCACAGTGCAACCGCAGTTGTGGCAGCACATGATAATCCGCGAATCATGCAAAAGTGCAGGTGGCCCAGACTGGAAGCAGACAAACCGGGGACCAATATCAGGTATCATTACGAGGCTCTCAACTATCCCAATGGCACTAACTATGATGCGTAAGAATAGAAGGCACCTCCAAAGTGCGGAAATATGTGCGCGCCAAGCGTGTGAGGATCTGTTTCACACCCCCTCGGCCTGGAAGAAGACTTTTGAGAACAGTTGAATTCTTGAACACGAGAAGTGCAATTGCTCAAATACTGGAATATGTAAGGACGTTCCAGCTCACTCAAAGCCACACTTAGTTCACCTGAGAGTGAAGCATGAAGCGTGGCATCCTCATCCAAAGTGAGTACCTCTCTGATCGCTGTCCGTGGCTCTGTGTTGAGCTGATTGATCGAATGCATGGATGAGATCGGAGTTGAAAACCAGCAATATTCGATGATGGGACGGGAAGCCCCACACTTCCGCCTAAGGATGCCATGAAGGCCTTGTAGCTCATCGCGCTTGAAAATGCATGAAAACGTTGGGTCGTAATCAGATTGAAAAATAATCAGAAGTGCAGCAAACTACAACAACGTGTGAATTAGCCTTCCCACCCCAATTTCAACTACATTTCCCCCTCCTACCTTGGAGTTATTGTGTGGAGGCATTTCTCTTCGGATGACCGCAGCAGCTGAGGCAGTGTTCAAGTACCTAGAAAAATGAGCCGTGTTTCAGTGCCTTTCAGTGCTAGCGCTGACGGTCTCACTTACTTAGGATATCCGCCGCGTCGATCATTTGCTGCAAGGCAGTGAGGTACAAGGCCATGCGCGTGCTTACGCGTAGACATCAATCCGATATCCATTCTGTCACTCTTTACTATCCATCTGTGCAATGAGCAGAAGTTGCGGAACGTGGCTGGGAGTTGAGACTGCTTTGACAGCCCTGAGCAATCGCGAGAGAGCGCCTGGAAACAACGACGCAATTTTATGGTGATTGACATGTTCACAACATGGACAAGAACTGATGGTAACTTTTATATTACGCTGCATACATGTAGACGACCGTATATTTTAGCACACTGGGGTATCACGCGCCATCCACCATCATCATCAGAACTACTCGTTCAAGCCTTCTCGCCCTTGATCACCTTACTGCGACCAATTCCAATCATCTGGAGCATCTCCCTCCAGAAGGTGGTAGGAGGCTCGTGCACCAAAGCATGCTGCTCATAGGCCTCGATAATGGGGCGGTCCCACGTCAAGTCCACCTCATGGGGCTTGAGCCAGTGAGTGCGCTTAAGGACCTTCCAGAAGATGAACAGGAGAGGCGCGACAAGCTGCATCGTGTAGTTGGAGAAGAAGCCTCCAACATCGAACTTGGGGCGGAAGGCGGACCATCCGTAGACGAGAATGACAATGGTCTGCAAGAAGAGGGCAACGTAGGCGCCGTAGGGCTGGAGGTATCCGCAGTAGGGCAGCGTCTTGCGGTCGAGACCCTGGGCCTTGCACGCGTGGTAGAAGTTGATGTACGTGATGGACATGACGAGGTAGTTGATGACACCGCCGCCCGTGATGAGGGCCAGCAGCCAGTTGAGCACCTTTGCGGAGCCGCTGCCGCACTGCAGGAAGGAGAGCAAGGGGAAGACCATGGTGACGGCGAAGCAGTAGACAGGCACACCGTTCTTGGTGGTCTTGCGGAGCAGAGCCGGGGCGCGACCGTCGAGCGCTAAACTGTACAGGGACCGGGTCGCGCAGTAGACGTAGGTGTTACCAGCGGAGAAGATGGTGGTGAAGAGCAGAGCATTGACCAAGTGGGGGAGACCCTGGATCTTGAGGTTCTCCATGGCCATGACCCACGGGGAGGCAGCGGCGGTGCCACCGCTGCCGGTTCCGGTGATGTAGATGTCGATGAGGGTCTGATTGTTGTAGGGGAGCACGATGCCGCAGGTCAAAGCGGCGCCGACGAAGAAGAGGCCGAAACGCAGGTAGACGGTCTTGAAGGCGCCCTTGATGTACAAGCTCGGGTGCTTCGCCTCGGCGGCGATCATGGAAATGTATTCCGGTCCGACAATGGTGAACGTGGCAGTGGCCAGAGCACCCATGAAGCCTTCCATGCGACCGGTATTACCCTGTGTCATGTATTCCGCGAATGCGCCGGGCTCCTTCCAGTATCGGAATCCGTAGGCATCGTGGGCGGGGTTTCCTCCGACCATCGTGATGAAGGTGAAGAGGAAGAGGATGAAGATGAGCAGGACTTTGCCGCCTGAGAGCCAGAATTCAGCTTCACCAAAGATGCCGACGGCAACAACATTCAGTAGACTAGAATCACACATTGACGTTTAGCATGCATACACAACGAGCACCACCGAGGCGAGAGGAGAGAGAGAGGAGAACGAGAAGGGTCACGGGCGGGCACCACGACGAGCTCTAGAATGTCCGGTCGGTCTAGTCGCTTGTCCCTGAAATGCAAGGAGAAAAAGAGTCAATCGTTCACACGAATTGGTTTGTGACTTACCCGTACGCGATGATGATGGCGATGCAGAAACCCGCCGTCGGACCCGGCTCCGTAATCTTTTCGTTCCAGAAAGAGCACACGAGATTAAGCGCGGTAATTTCGAACGGGATAAGCAATGCCTCGTAGATGAAGTAGTTCCAGCCAACCATAAAGCCGAGAGCATCGTCAACCCAGACACCGGCCAGACGAATGAAGCCACCAGACACGGGCATGTAGGTGCTCATCTCGGCGATGGAGTTGTTAACGAGGGCGACGACGCAGGCGTAGAGGGTGTAGGCAATGAGCAGACTTCCGGGACCGCCCTTGGCGAGGCCGCCGCCGATGGTGACGAACAGGCCGGTACCAATTGTGCCTCCGATGGCAATCAGTTGAATCTGACGGTTGTTCAGGCGGCGCTGGAGGCCATCGGAGTTGTGTCGCACGGAGGAGCCATAGCTGTCGAGAGAGACCCTGTCGTTTGGGACGGATTCAACCGGGCCCTTGAGTTGCTCGGAACCCGACATGGTGAAAAGAGTGAGCTAGTTCAAGCGCAACGGCTTTACTATCTAGACTCTTTCCCCGTAGAGGTATGTTGACGAGAGACGGAGGGAGGAGACCACTGAGTGCATGTGGAGGAATGAAGAAACGGCTCAAGCCAAGTGGAAACCGTGGGCACAAAGAGGAGGGCGTGCGAAGAGAGGAGAGAAGGAAGGAAGAGAGAGCAACGAAACGTTTCGAATGGAGGCACGCGAGGAGAATCTCGATGGGGGAGAGTTTAGTTTTAAGGGTGGCAGCAGGCAGACAGGTAGATCGATCAGCGTCTCGTTTGGTCAATCGACCAGGGAAAACTTTTGCGACCTGGGCGAACTTCTTCTCTTCCCAAGGCAACGTGCCACATGCCACACAGTGTACCGAAGAGAGTGAGAAGAAGAATGCGCCGCGCCGGGCTACCAGGTATGTAGACACACCCAAATGCAAAAGCTTTTTCTGCATTCTGCAGCTGAACAACCCACAGACCAGACCCGTACGAACTTTGAGCCAACCCGACCCGCGGGCTCTCGGCGTAGCCTGTAGGTAGATTGCATCAGAAAATCCAGGGACAATGAGGGAAAGTATCCATACAGAGGGCCAGGAACGTTGCAAGTCTGTGTGGAGTTTGACTGGGTTCGTCCCTGATATCGCACGCAGGCGTTGTAGTGTTTGCGCCCCATGCCCATGCCATCCATGGATTTTGTGTCGACCCCATCCCAATCCTTCGGCGCGGCGCTGGTGCTAAGGCAGAATATTTCCGCAATGTCGTCATTCCTGGTCTTAGCGTCCGCTTCTGAATGCATCTGTCTATTGGACGGGGGAGGCTTGGCTTGACTTGGGGGGGGGGGGGCTACAGATTATGGGTTCGGCGACGGAGTACTCGCCCGTGCCAACATGGGAATCGTCGCCGTGTCGCCGTCTTCCGCATCGATATGTTGTCTGGGATTGTAATCAGTATGCCTTGACTAAGACGTATAACTACCACCCTAGTTGCGTCTTATCGATATCACAGCGGCAGAGATATCGGAATACAGCGTTCGCCTCGCAGGATTGAGGATGGGGGAGGCGCAATCTCCAGCTTTATCTGCAGGGACACATTGCCATCTCAGGCAACTCTATGCGGGGTTATCAGATACGTATCCCCCATACTATACTGGACACTACACAGTAGGCAGGGAGTACGGATACATCCAGGATTCTCAGAGTCGTCGGCTCGTTCGCTCATCCCAATCTCACTTGTCAGCGCTGTTTGAAGGGGCCACAGGGCCACAAGGGTTCACTTGCTGAGGGGAAAATAATGGGAACCAGCTGGAGCAGTCCGTGCCTTTGTGGGTGGGCGCAAGTTTGGCGAGGGACCACTTGGTGTGTCGAACACTGAACCATGATTGCCGGGAGGGAGCCAATGAGCATCAGACAGACTCATCCAAAGGTCATCTTGTCGCTGCTGTTGAGAGCCCGGGCCGTGTTTATCAGTGAGGTGGCCAATCTCCCTTTATTCTTGTGTGTTTCGGTGAGATGCCGACAGCGACACACAATGGAAGAAAGCCTGACTCCTTCTCCTGCAATCCCACTCGCCGCAATCACCAGTGGGATGACATGGCAGGAAAACTTGCCCTCAAAACCAAGGCAGCAAGGCAGAATGGTGCGAGGCTGGGGATGAATCCTGGGAGTATCCCGTGACACCATGTCGCAGTAGTTTTTTCGCGCAGCTCATCTGAGCCAGTGAGGGAGCAAAGAAATAACGAAAATTTGTCTTTATGTCATCTAAACGCGCAAAAAGCAGCCAATCACTATCCGTCGCAGTTTCGCAGTTTCGCAGTTTCGCACAATAAGATGGTGCAAGATGCTAAGAAAACCAGCCAACGAGCGTGTCTCAAAAGACTCGACCATTATCCACTTTATATGCAGCCGCCAGTCAATGCCCAACCAAGGGATGTGGACACTTTTCTTTTCGTTCTTCCAACGGGGGGAAATGAGGCGACCCCACAGGCTGAGTCGGTGAGCGGCAAGTTAGCGGAGGGGGGGCTTTTGGTCAAGGGGCCTACCGGAAGCGGCGTGTTCCCGGTGAGAGAGCTCATGTCACTCGCAATGGTCGATGAGCCGTCGTTGAAAGAAGCTCATCCTTCAGGGTCGACGTCGAAGGGGTCGATCATCAAGCGCGCTGATAAGGACTCGTGGTGTTGGAGCCGCAATGTCTGGACGATAGGATAGGGCAGGTGGTGCTGGGCGCGCGCGTGCGCTCTCGGCGCTCTCATTGAGTTTTGTAGGGATTCTGAGAAAGCAGACCCAAGTAAAGCCGCGAGGCACCGTGGCAACCCCAAGCCAAACGACGGCGGGCGCAAGGGTGAAGAACTATGAGAGACGGGCTCCCATTTGCCAAGGCCTCGTCTTACCTCGAGGAGGAGTGGAGAATGGCACGACGCGCAGGACGCCGAGTCCTACGGCGTGGAGGCTACCGACGGCTTGATTGGAACGGAACCGTGGAGTGGATCACAGTGGACCCTCTCAATACCGTACGGCCCCACCCCTGCGGGACCGAAAAGGGTCCACTTTGCCGTTACTCGAATGCCTGCCGCTTGACCCGTTTCTGTGTGTCTTGGCGCGTTACTGGTCCTTTTGCAGCTTTGTGAACCCGCAGCAAGGCTTTTTTCCTCGCTCGATGACGTAGGATACGCGCTGCAGGCGACGAATAATTGTGCGCGGACTCGGGCCCGTCGAAGAAAAGATCCATGCATGAGGCGTGGTGTCTTGCCTAGGTGTCAGACGACTTATTCCCGTAAAGAGACTCGACTCATTCTCAAAGGAGCGATTTTGTCGCAATTGTCCAGTAGCGAGGAGTCCGCGGGCCGGCTGGCTTCGGCTACAGACATCGATTGCGCCGGTACACTTCGATGCATTGCCCAATTATCTAATGCCAACCTGGGCTGTCGGATTGTCCTGCCATGATTGAATTCAAGGTTCCGCAGAGTTTTCGCCTCTAGCTCCTCAGATCAGACGATGAATTCGCCATGGTGAGCACTGTGCGAGAGAAACTCTCGGGTTAATTAAAGGATTGACTTTTTCTTGTTTGTTGTACTCAGTGTCCAATAGGCTACCTCCTAGGCTTTACCCATCATCCATGTCGAACCAGTGAGCCTGTCCCTAGTACGAATCTCTAATTAAATATCGCAACTGCTTCTTATCCTTGACAACAATATACCGATGTCGTGGCTGGCTATGCACGTGTTTGTATGAATCAAAACATGGGCATGGATTGCCATCTACACCCGAATTCGCCTAACCGCATCTTGAAGTAGTTCGATGAGTTCTTTCCCTCAAATTTTCGCCATAGACAAGCAGCGACTGCCATGTCGGTGAGATTTGACAGTCGGATTGATCCAATCCCGAGCTCTTCGTGTAGATGTTGTGAAATAGTCCTGTCTTTGCTCGCTTCACTCCTCATGAGTTTGCAGTCTACATGTCCACCTACCGATAGACGATCTGCAACAACCCTCTAGATAAGATATTGAGATCTATTATTATCTCTCTCGGGTTAAGTCAAAAGAGCACAAACGACCTGTTAACTTTACCACGAGGCTGAATCAGGTCAAAATACTCCGAAGAGACGTCAAACAAGGACAAGAGCCTACGCCTAGGGTGGAGATAGCAGCCTGCAACAATTCGCCGAACGTCGCTATCCGGACAAAGTATGATCTACGGCAGCGACTTCCTTTCCAAGTTGCCGCAGATGTCAACTACCCTTGCATTTCTTTGCATCTGACAGATGCGGGACCAGCAACAGTCCCCGAAGCTACTCCTCGAGCCTGCTAGCAGCACAATACCTTATCCAGTTCATGGGAACGGCACGGACGGGTATGCAAGCAGGGGCTTTGGGCTGTAAGCTTCCCGCCTGGCAGTAGCACAGGCTCAGCCTTATCTTTGACGGCGCCCACACCATACATGAGGCTGAGAAGTATGGTTAAGAAACCTTCATCGTGCTAAGGGACTGGATTTCCATCCCACGGACCTGTACTAGGCAAACAATAGGTACAGCGTGTAGACTCGCACCTACGTGTGCTTCAGCAAGTGGCCTTGAAGACAGAGTAGACAAACACGCGTGTTCCCCTGAGCTCTCGCCGGTTGGTCATTATCGTGAGAGCGACTTTTGCAATATTCTATGAGCTGTCTTTCTGAACATCGTCACATTTCGTCCCTCCGATAAAAGGGTCATCTTCGACCAACTTCGACCAATGCGACCGTCGACTACACATGCGTAACTCGCTCGCGGATTCATTTCAGTGCAGCTTGATTGTCTGCAGCACGATTTGTCATGGAATTAGGTCGAGTCGAAGGCGCGTTGGTAAGGTGGTGAATGGAACAAGATAGGATGGTATACAATCACCACTTGGACCTTGAGCAAGTTGGGAGCGGTTGAAAATAGCGCAAATTGAGTGCGTTCATATGTTGCGTACATGATTTTAAGTTCTTGATTGAGTCGTACAGTTGATTCTGAGGCCACCCGCATTAACAAATCCGTTTTTCGACGATTAACCATACAAGCCGGGCAAAACTGGACGCAGCTGACCACTACGTTGAGGCATTTCCGACATTATGCCGCACTTTCAGGTTCGGGCGAGTTGCTGACAGAGCACACAACCCAATCACATTTGCCGCATTCCCGAGCGTTGTAGCGCTTCAACGTTTCTTTATCGCCCGCTTACTTAGGCAGCCAAACAAGAAGAGCCAATTAACTGTCTGTCGCATTTGCGGGAGCATGCTCGGGCGACGCTTGCCGTTCGGGCCTGTCACGGCTCATTCGATGTTGCACATGACCTCATCCATCATAAACATGTCACCACGCTCAACCGCCAGGCTCTCATTTCACTGCAATCCATTCAATCAGTACCGTGTCCAAGGCGCCACTCCTCCTACAATAGTTTGATCTGCGCAACTGTTTCTCGAAGCCGTTGCTCAACCACCCGAGATAGTCGTCATTGGCTGTTGATCTAGCGAAGAAGAGACTGAAAGCCGAGATGGCACAAGTCGACACCAACCCCGATCTTCCGCCAGACTATGCGGTGGATGCTGGTACAGTCTCAGAGAATTTGCCGCCAGATACACTCCGGCTGGCTGGCCGGTTTGTCCATTCCGCCAACACCCGGAATGCGGATGCGCCGGGAATTTTCGAGATCAACCACCAAATAGACTTCTTACGAGAAACCGATAGACTTGTGGAGTTCAGCCGCATCGACTACAGTATCAAGAAAAGGCCTGATGAGTCGAACCGTCTGCCCGAAATTGTCTCCAACTCGAGGCACATCTTCAATCTGGAGCGCCCACCTGCCATTCTCCAGGAGACCTTCCCGTACTACATCAAACCAACATCTCGGAGTGGTTTGGGTAGCATTGGGCTCAAGTTTTTGAAGATTGGAAAGAGCGAATGTAAGGCCTGGCTCGTGAGCCGGCGGAAGGCGAGTGACAGGACCGAGTATTACGAGGCGCGAGAGCTACTGTTCGACGTTCGCCGCAACAACCAAGTTTTCGACTGGCTTGACGGTAATGGAACAAGATTGGCAGTTGAGGAGTCCAAGAGCGGCATGTACAGTCTCAACATTCTGGTCTCCCTGGACCGGGCGATGCGTGATGCTCTGGCGGCCGTGTGGTGTACCAGGCTTTGGTATTTGCGAGCTGTATTGTTCCATAAGAAACGTACCTGGAAAGACAGTGAGTACCTGATTTCGCCTCTATGCGATTTGAATGGCGCAATTACTTACTAGACCTCTACCAGGGAAATACATCATGCAAACCTGCACATGGGATCTGCCAAAATGAGACTTGGGGCCAAAGGGTGAACTCAGGGCGTGACTCTTCAACTTTGTAACTTACACCTTATACTATCGGCAGCCAAGACCTTGTGACACCCCTAACTTCCCATTTGTAAGCTCTTTTCGCACTGAATGTCGATGCTACTCCATTTTAGATCGGATCCGAAGCTCTGGATAGCGGAAACAGACCCGCTTTTCCAATCGGGGCTGCCGACGCCGATGCCGGGGCCACTCCTTCCAGGTCCCACGTCACCGGAGTTCTTCCGGCAAAATTTGCAACGGGAAGGCGCTTGGGAAAAGCGCGCCTACCATGCCTAGACTTGTGGTCTGACATCATCGGCGGCATTCTAGAAACTGCATTCAACCACATTCACGCGGCGGCATTCGTAGCTTACCACTACCACCAGTCATCTCCCCGGTTGCGAACAGAACACCTGCGTGAGGTAATATCCGCATCCGCATCTGCATCTGCATTCACATCGCATCCACATCAATCGCCTGACTCATCAACTGGTACTCACCGAACCCACTCTGTACGAACACTGATCAGCGCTGTCAAATTCACCCCACCTATCGTCTACACTACTCTCAACACCACCACCTCATCTCACCGTTCTCCCCGATAGACGGCATCACCCAGCAACCAAGATGGACGGACCATATGCTCGAGAATTGGCAACTGCCATTGCCGCCATACAACACGGCGCCAAGCTTAGCCGCCGTGTTCTCGTCAAAGATGACAAGGGCGTCGTGACAAAAGAGGACCTCAGCCCAGTCACCGTTGCCGACTTCGCCATCCAGGCCCTACTGACGAGCACACTGCACTCCGCCTTTCCCAACGATAAATTCGTCGGCGAGGAGTCCGCCGCTGACCTCCGCGAGAATCCCAAGCTCCTCGAGTCTGTATGGGCGCTGCTGCAGCAGGTCGAGAACGACAAGACCGCCGACTCATTATGCAAGCTGCCTACGTCACCAGAGGAGATGTGCGACATGATTGACTGGTGCGGCCTTAGCGACCCATCACCTACTGGCCGCTTCTGGGTGTTTGACCCCATCGATGGAACAAAGACCTTTGTGCGGGGTGAGCTCTACGCCATCAACGTCTGCCTGATGGAAGAAGGGAAGCAGAGCGTCGGCATCGTCGGTCTGCCGCTACTCTCGGCTGACGCGAAGGCACCCATCAACAACGACTCCATCGATCCCACCGGTACCGGCAGCATCATGTTCGCAGTCCGAGGGCACGGAACCTTCATCCGGCCGCTTCCTGGCCCGATCGACCTCGAGCCCACAAAGATTCCCCGCCACGCCGACGTGGATACGCAATCCCTGGTGTCAGTGACATGCATCGAAGGCTCCGAATCTGGGGCTCCGGGTATCCACCAAAAAGTCGCCGAACGTCTTGGTGTAGCGTATCCTGGCAACGATCTGCTCGGCTGGGTTTTGCGGTGGACGGTTCTCGGTCTCGGTCAGGCGAATTGCACGTTCTGGGCCTACAGGCGGCGTGACCGTCTCGCAAAGATCTGGGACCACGCGGGCGCCATGCTGCTTTTCGAGGAGGTAGGCGGGAAGGTCACCGACGTCGACGGCAACCCGGTAAATCTCGTAGCGGGACGGAAGATGAAGGCAAATTACGGTTTCATCGCGGCACCGCCGTCAGTCCACTCAAAGGTCCTCGAGGCAGTGAGAGAGACGTTGAAGGACGAAGGTCTGCATGAGCTCTTGGGTTAGGGCGTGACCAGTACGTTAGCGTTTTCGGAAATTAAGAGACGATTGATACCTGCATTCTCATTTCTCAACACCCGCTTGATTTCTAATCTTTCCGCGCCCTACGATATGTTGGAAACGAAAGTTGCCTCGAAAGGTGTGAAATGTTCGCCCAATTGATGCCCTCTCCGCCGTCCACGAGTCGCGCAGCGGCAGGAGTCAGGTAAGCTTCAAGTGGTTTAAGGTTTCTACCTAATGTATCAAGCTTCACATAGTCACGACTCGGCAACTAGGTAAGGTACGCAGCTTAGTCGACTATCTCATTGAGGACTCCGTGCTTCTATTCCGCTCGGACGAACTTGCTAGGAAGCTTGCTGTTATACTAGTAACCTATAAAACACAGTACAAGTACTAGAAGGTCTTCTTCCGCCCATTTTTCTTTTTTTTGAATCACCAGCTTTGCTATTCACATTCGTTTGTCCATTGCCTTCATTCACTCTTTCAATACTATTCACTCATTAAATCATTTCATCATGCGCGTACTCGCTAGTCTTCCTCTTCTGGCCATGGCTGCCCTCCAAGTCGCCGCTGGCGACTTTTCGGCGACATGCTCTGGCACGTCCTACTTCTCTACCAGCGTCAAGTCCTACTGCAAGGATAAATACCAGGAGGATTCCTACTCGACCGACTTGGATATGACCAAGTGCCTGGCCAATGTCGGAGGCAGGATTGTCGTAAGTCTTACACCCAGAAGCCAAGCTCTGAGTCGCTCCATCGTTGGATTCAAACTAATGTGATTTGTTCGCAGTGCCGTCCTTCCAAGTAAGCCATACCTTTAGTTAATCAATCTTCATACTGACATGTTGCAAAAGCCCATCGTTCAAGTTCTGCGACTGTGGTCTTGGCGGCGACAAGAAGCAGATCTTGAACTGCCGCTGCACTGATTCCACCGGAGCGAAGAGACCTTCGTCCCTGAACCTGGGTAAGATTATCATGGGAAGTTCATCAATTATCACAGCAAGTACTGACTAATCGGCTTAGACACGTGCCTGAGCAACATCGACGGAGACCTCAAGTGCTAGAGGCCCTCTCAATTTAAACCTTATTTCGGTGTAGTGGGAAATTGGAGGAGACTCAGGGGTACTAAACACAAGCGGAGCATAGCGAGCATACTTTTTAGTTGCTACTCAATAGAACATTCAGCGCTTCATTCTTCTACCTTACTTTAGGCTCAATGTTTCGAGAGCTTGAAGAAAACCGATGCCTATGAATCCAGAGAATTGTTCTCACATATCATCGGTGCATGCAATCGGTGACACCATAGCTCTCTCTTCACAATCTCAAAGCCCGAGGCGCCAAGGCTTACTACCAACGCTTCACAAACTGCTTTCTTGGCAACGACTCGCGTTATCAGATTGCACCTCGCTTTTCTCAAAAGCCCAATCTCTCACGGGTCACCTGGTCGCTGCGCGCGCCAACGGCATCGCCAGACCGACCGCCCGCAATTGCGATCCAGTAGCCTGACTCGCAGTACGAAATGGCGGTGATTTAAGGCACCGCCTAAGCCTAATCTTATTCTTCAGCAGCGAGCCCCGGGGCCGCCGGTGCCGTAGTCTGGAACAAATAATCAATTATCCTTTTCTCTGCCTCATCTGGAAAGCACGGATTTTCTCTCGCCGCAGCGCTCTGCAATAGGGAATTACTGGGTCAAACATGAGACGAGGTGCGCCAAAGCCTCGGGTTCGATCCGAACTCTATCGAATTAGTTCGTCTCATCGCAATCTTTCTAGATAGTATCGGGGAAAACGCTCGTGGTTTGATGCCGAGCCGCGGCCATGACTCTCGTTCATGAAGTACCCTGCCGACGTTATATAGATGGATGTTCAAGACGAAGTGGAATTACATGCCGGTGTAGCCTCTCAGTCTTCAACGCCAGTCACTCATTCGCTCGTTCACTAGTTGCTCAGATCTCTGACCTCAATCCACTCTTTCAAAACTCTTCTTCCACCAACATGAAGTTCCCACTCGTCCCCGTGGCCATCGCCCTCTTCTCCACTGCCTACGCCGCTCCCGGCGCGCCTGCCGCTGAGAACGTCGAGCTCGTCGCTCGCGGCAACTGCCCCGCGGCCCAGGACTGCACATGCACGGCGTAAGAACACCACCTCTCTCATCAACCTGGCGTTAGTACACGAATATTGGACTGACTGTGATATTCTGGGGATATAGCAAGTTTGACAAGTACGCCAACCCTATTGAGTATGGCTCTACCGTCTCGGCCCGCATCTCTGGCGCGGACCGAGGGCTGACGACCTCGGACTGGCGCGGCACCAACGGCTACGGCAGCTCTTCTTTGTGCAGAGTCACGGTCGACCGTGTGTGCGGTAACTGCCGGGCCTGGAAGACGACGACGGACAAGTGCGGATACTACAGCCTGTCCGATTTCAGCTGTGTCAACGCTTAAACGACTACGGCTTTCATTGTATAGCGTTCTTGATGCGTAGCATTAGCATTGTATTCTCAAGCGGATTTTATTGATCAATTACGTTTCGTCCATGATACTGAGATGCGTGAACAACAAACACATGGTGCATATTATTCAACTGCAGGTTATTAACATCTGCGTGTTGGGGTGAGACCCCTTCTGTAACATCGGTTCTTACGGGGTATCGCTTTGAACCGCAGTTATGAGCCAGTAGAGTCAAGGAGAAGGCATACCCTGCGGTATTGATTGAATCGCTTCTCATTGGTAGAACTCTATGTCACTGAAAGCAACGGAGAGACCGTCAGACGGGAGGATGATGACAATCGGGTTCCCATGTGTCGCAGTCTATGCCTTGGCGCTGACATTTCTCGGCTATCCTGTCACTTAATTAGTGCTCTCGCAGCAGCAGCCCTGGAGGAGAGTGACCTGTCAGACATTTCTCCGCCTTCTATGCTACCATCAACGTCGCATGCGACTTGTTCGCGGAGTCAAATTGACATGCAGCATGGAGTTTTGGTTGACCGTCTCGAACGAGTGGAACATTGAGGTATGCGCAGGGATGGAAGTTGATAGGGTCGCTCGTTGGGCGACTGTACGAATGTCACGGATTAGGACTAGTGCTGCCGCAGTTGCATGGGTAGCTCACTGCGTTCCGGAACATGAATTTTGGATATAAATGTAGGTGTTGAGCAGAGCCTTTCCGATTTGATTCATCTAGAAAGGTAGAATCTTCTTAACACGACAAGACGTTTGCCAAATCACAAGTACTCATTGCACATCTGCATGGAATCATAATGACACCTTCTCTTATCGATTCATATGGCTACAAGTTTCGCCAAACGGATCTTCACATGTCAGCAGAGCAGCTTGACCCGCTGAAGCATAAATTCGATGAAGTGGGGTCAGAGGCTCTCACAGCTCTAGATGGCATGTTCCCTCCTCCGCCGCCTCGAGCTGGGTGGTACGCCAAGGGGAAGCAGGAAGACCCGCAGCCCGATCGCGATACATACGCTCTGCTTCGGGACCACCGCGAGAAGGACCCAAGACTGATGAAGCTCTGGGACGAAGTCAACGCCGTGCCTGAGTGGGTCGACTGGGACCAGATCAAGCGTGGGCAGGACGTCTTCTACCGCTACGCGCCTGCTGCAGTTACTGGGTTTGCGTTCCAGGGACTGCTTGCTACGACTGTAAGTGTGATGACAAGGAGACACGGATGTGAGAAACTCTCGGCGAAAATGCTAATGCGATCTACCAACAGGGAGCCTCGTATCGACCGGCAGAGACGTTGGTTCGTACAGGCGGTCACTCCGCCAAAGTCGCCAAGAACAGACTCTTTGAGACATTTCAGCTCCTTCTCCAGGTCACAAAATCCCTCGACGACATCAAGCCTGGAGGTGAAGGCTTCGCTTCAGCCGTGCGCGTCAGACTACTGCATGCCGCGGTGCGAGGACGAATCTTGAAGCTCAACGCACAGCGTCCCGGATACTTTGATGTCGATAAATACGGCGTCCCCATCAACGAACTTGACTCGATGCAGTCTGTATGTGCATTCTCCACCAACCTCGTGTGGTTGGCACTGCCCCGACAGGGTATCTACGTGCGCCACCAAGAAGCTCTGGACTACCTCGCTTTATGGCGATGGGTCGGCTATGTCTTGGGTACTCCCCACTGGATCTTGGAAACACCCGAACGAGCATTGGCATCTATGGAATCGCTTTTGAAGGCATGCCTTGCCCCGAGCAAGAACTCTCGAGCTTTGGCCAATAACTTGGTCATTGCTTTGGACGGCGTTGCTCCAATTTATGAGCCGAAAGAGTTCTTCGAGGCTGGGACTCGCTTCATCAACGGAGATGAGATGTGTGATGACGTCGGACTTGGCAAACCCGGTCTGTACTGGGATGCTGTCATCAGAGGTATCATCTGGACTCTGATGGTGATTACTTATATGTCGCGTTCTATCCCTGCCTGGGATAGATGGCAAATCAAGGTAAGCACGCTCTGAAGTTGAACAGGACTACCGAATAGTTTTCACGTGCTGATCCAATGTCGTCAGACATTCCGAGCTTTATTCTGGGACTACATCGTGGAGAACAAGGACACCTTGAAGGGAGGATATAAATACGAGTTCAAGTATGTGCCGCATCACGATGCGAAGACTGGCGCCGAGACCGCAGATGGGCCGCGACCTGCGAATGGTATGGGACATTTGGAGGTATTTGGCCTCGCTGGATTTTGCATTGCTATGTTGCTTGCGACCGGGCTCTTGACTATGGTCGCTAAGCTGGGCTTGTCGTATGTGGCCAGCAACCCTTTGCAGGCAATCATTGCTGGTAGCCAATTTAGGCCTTGATCAAAGAAAAGTTGAGGCTTTCGCATGTTTGAGTCAACGAAGCATCTGACTATCCAAAATGTTTCGCAGTGAATGGCTTTGTCGCCTAATGAATGTACACTTCTCGATCTCGGCCCTCCTGGACTTCCCATCTCCCATCTTTGATCTCTCATCTCCCATCTCCCAACGCCCCCTCTCCCATGTTCTCGTATTGGGGCGATTCCGCAAGACGTAAAGGGGCAGCAGTTCTTCTTGATGATTGCCTAATGTCTCACTTATTAGGAATTTCGCGCTGTTAATGGCCTACACGTCCTGTCAATCTTAGCCCGAAGGTACTTTTGGGAGCCACCGCCATCCTGCATGCCGCCACCTAGCTCTCGAGACGTCTAGCCGCGATTACCTATATCTACATAGCCTGCATGAACCAACTTGCAGACATTTCACAACACCACCATTGAAGCCTCAACATTCTAGTGAACGCACACCATGCGGATGAATCCTACAGCCTGGGCCATAGCTATAGGCTCGCATACTGAAACGGTAAAAGCTAGCTATAATCCGCTATGGCCCCCACGTGGCGATGGAGAACTGTATGTTAGCTTACCCCGAACTTGTCGGGGCTGAGATGAAGTGCAGCTTAGTCTGACATGGAGGGTAGCTTAATCCCTGTTTTTTTTGCGGCTAGAGGGTAATTACGGAATGAGAATGCCATAGTAAGCATGCTGTGTTTCCCACCCAGCCTGCTTGGGTCACCCTCTCTGCCTCGACGATGAAACGAGAAAGCTTGAGGCCAGCCTTGTCAATATTTTGGGAATGCGGAATCTCATAAGAGCATCAAATAAATATAAAATCTCAAGGGATTTCCTTCGTTGGCCGACAACCAGTCTGCGACCTGCAAGGCTTGTTCTTACTTTTGTTGCTCTAGTGACCGCGATTCAAGCTACCTTAGTGAACCATCATGGAAGCTTCCATATCGATAGCGCAGTGTAAGAGCCATTACAACACGACTGTGGACTGCAGTGTCACCCCGAACGACTCTGGAGGATTCCAGACTATCGCTGGCTATGAGCGCGGCGAAGTCCCTCCCGAGCCGGATATCGCGGGCATTGGGGTGCGTATAGCTGCCACTCATTGTTTATTTGATGTCGAGAAGTTAAGCTGTTCTAAAGATTGTTTCCGTCTTTATCGCTGTCGCGTCTTTCGCGTTCGCCATTGGTGTCTTTGACGTCATATGGACCGTAGTAAAACATAATTCAACGACACATCAACGGTAAGACACAGCCTTCAAGAATTAAATGAGTTTCGATGTCAAGCTGATGACAAGCTGTTGAATAGGTTCAAGGCTTCTGGTTTCCAAAGACCACGTTGGGCTAGCAAGTTTAGTCGATCAAAATTCTTTCAAGCTCTCGTCGTCTCTTGCAGCGACCAACAGGTCTTCACAGGCGGTGCCTACCTAGTGACCATTAGGTTTTGGAAAGGCTGTTTCATAACCGCTTACCACTACAACATTGTCGCAAACATGCTACTGCTCACTTGCGCGACGCATCTCATGTCCGTTGTGATCTCAAAGAACTACTTCGAAAGGCTCCTCCTTGCTTGTCTACGAGTCATATTTATCACAGTCGTATTCGCCATGACTGGGCTCTTACTATCCAACCAGAACGCAAGCAACAACGTACCTTTTCCAACGAAGGTGCCGCCCAGTAATGAATCAGACAGCTTGCTGTTATCTCAAGCTGTTTGCTTTCAGAATGGGGAAGACAGCATGGAACAGTTGAAGCAACTCCTGCTAGACTCAGTAGGAAGTGGAACAGCGGTGGAGAGGGCATTACTACAGAGCACTCCGGGGAACTACATTCAGGGCTGGAACCTCTACCTAGTCATTCTGATTTGGTACGGTGTATCCATTCTTGCAGAGTTGGGCCGATGCTGTTATCGAAGTAGGAAAAAACATCGCGAAGCCGCCGAGAATAACGGTTGGCACAAGCGCGACAACTGTTTTGTCAAAATTTTCTCCGGTGTTGGTAGATTCTCCTACGGAGTATATCTTCTTGGCGGAGTAGGCATCTGCGGAACAACAGTTGTGATGTCGAGCCTTTACATTATGAATCTGAGGCGTTGGGTGAAAAGGTCGCGATGGCTTGAGCTGGACGAAGGCGGGCAGAGTGAAGAAGACGATGCAACATCCTTTGGGCAGCTCGTGCCTATTATCTTGGTGGGATTGACGGCTTTCACGTTTCTCTCAATACTGAGTGGTAAGTCGTTGTGCAAGCCTTCACATTCTTATCTATCTGTTCAATGGCTAAACCCTGACTAGAAATGTGTGCCGACAGTCGCAAGTCTTATCAATCTAAAGACGGTTACTCATCAGTGAACCAACATCGCAAAGGGAGTGGCCACCTGTGATAAAAAAATTCATTGTCGATGCACCCTCTGCTTGATTGAATAAGCGCACCTGAACGTGGGCGGTCTCTTTTATAACTTGCCTTGCTCGTAAAACCTGGTCAGAATGCGGAATACACGTGTGCCATGGGCGATTCAAACGGGATTGATGGATATTAAACATGGAATGCCAATGTATCAAGATATCATGGATTCGTATTGTTGCTCTACCTCATTAGGAACAAAGAGCGGTCTTTTCATATTCCCTCTTCTTTCTAACGTAGATACAGTCTAAAGCATGCTGGGTATCACGTAGCACGTTCGTTCTATCGGTACTTCAAATCGTCTCTCTGAGCCTGTCTTGCACCGGAGTGCGCTGCGTCTAGCTCGGGCGTGTTTGATGCCGCAGCATCAAGCTCGTAAGTCGGTTGCATGGCGGAATCCATCTCTACCCGCGGCTCTGGAACTGCGAGCTCGTTCACCGCGCCACCATTCGCTCCGTATACCTGTCCATCTTTTCGTTCGTACGCCCACGCCGAAGAGCCCGCTTCCGTCGTAGGGGTCGCATCGGCTGAGCTTCTCTTCTTCCTCCGCCAGAGGAAGAAAATTCCCGCAATGATCAGAATTCCGCCAGCGACGCCTCCGACCGCAGCACCGGCTATCGCTCCGGTAGACATTGAGGTTGAATCGCCCGTACCCGACGGCGTAGAGGTGGCCGTAATCGCGGTCGTGGCGGAAGCTCCGGCAGTAGTGGTTGCGGTCGTTGATGCGGCAGTCACAGTCGCTAACGTTGTGGCGAGTGTCGAACTCGTCGACGATGTGGAACAGGATGAAGTGCTAACTGTCGCAGCCCAGAAGATATTCGAAGCAAGTGCTGTCGCCGTCGCGGGAGTACACAGCAGGGCGATTCCGTTCGAGTTATCGCGGTATGTCCCGTTTTGCCCGGATTGGCAGCACCATCCACCATTGTCGATCTTTCCGTCGACCCCCCAGAGAGTCCAGTCTGAATTAGGGCACTATGATGAAAATGTAGGATCAGCATTACTCCCATGCTCGAGGAGCTGGATTGTAGTTGCCCTCACCTTAGGGTATTTTAACGACAAGTCCCTGCAGTCAGAAGGATCTTTTGATCTAGGATCAGGATTATGTTGATTGAAGTGTCCAAACAGCGTTTACCAACCTTCACAACAGTAGTTGCCCACGTAATCACCATCTCCAGTGCATTTGAAACCCGAGGGGCAGCATCTCGGTTGCGCTCCTGTGCCACACTCGACAGGTGCGCTCGGCGGACATGATCTATCGTTTCGAAGCGCCCATCCTCCTTCATACGCGCATTCTTGCGCGAAAGACGCATGGACCGCGATGGATGCCGCGGTCACGAAACTGCGGAGGCTGAATCGCCATCGGATCGTGTCGAAATCCATGGTTTCGAGGTACAAAAACAGGACAAGTTTGCTGGGAATTACGGTTGTCGCAGGGAGAAGGTCGTAAACAGGGTTCCCTAAATGGGACCAAGATCATTTAATATGAGCGGGAAAACTGTTCGGCTGGAAGATGGGATCCGCAACGCCGCGGGTCGAAGGGGCTTTCGTCAAAGGATTCAGCTTATGGGGACCTGAAGGGTCAGCCCTGCGGGTGGCTGCATGATTGTTGTCCTCCATACGAGACTAAGCTGGTGCAACGGGCCGCTGGTTCGTCGGTTTAGCGGGTTGGATTCTGGCATATGGCACCATTGGGTGCAAAGTCATTTCTTCTTACGCGCTGCCAAGCGTTGGCAAATGAGACCTTACTGCCTGTTTTGCCCTGTCCTCCCGGTCTAAGCCATCCCAAATGAGGGAAGTGATCACCGAATTGACCATTCAACTCGCCAAAACACAGCAAACACGACCGTCAGATTTTAGGACAGTGGAAACGGCCGCTAAGCCTGGCTGCTTAGATTTTGTGGGCATTCAACATCCAGGCTGGTTACTTTGGGGGGGTCGGCTCCGAGTTGGCTGCTTACATTTTCCGAATGAGACAGAGGCGATGACCCACTGGCTATTCTGACACGTCTAGTGAGAACAGTGGAAGCGTCTGGCACTACGAAGTACTTGCAGCCGACACTTAGTTTGCTGTGATAGTTGTACTGTTCGCGTTCCCAAAGTAAGTGTCTGATTTCATGTACACATGTTTTCGTGCTTCTGACGCTGGCCTACTACTCCACCTGGGCGCAGGCATACTTCAGGGGGTCGGGGGAAGACCCGCTCGACGGAAAGCCAAACGAATACCTTAACCTTGTTTTGATGGCTGGTTCGAGGCTACCTTTCTTTTCGACCTGACGTCAGTGGCTACTCGCGACCTTACTGGCAATCCTCTGCAATTATACTCGAAGCCCGAACATGACCCCGATGCGTGAGTTGGTGAGAGAAACGCGCTTGTATGATAAGACGCGTTGTGACGAAACCCGTGCAAGAATCCTGGCAAATAGACCACCGTTCGGAGTCATGAGGCATGAAGGGTCCCAGAAAAGCTCTCGATTCAAAGAGGTTAGAAATCGTTAACCCTAAACCAAAACCATCAAGGCTCACCTTTGGTGCGGTGTGGTCAACTTACCCTGATGGATGCCATTCATGATTTGTTAAGCTTTGAGAGCCACATTTGGAGCATCCAGAGGAATGGCGGCTACCGCCAATGGTCAGTCGTTGCGAATTGTCCCTTTGAAATAGAATCGCATCCTAGAAGCCTTCGAGCCTGTAGCCGTTGAATGTAGCTTCAAGGATCCGTCATTGACAAGACAGTACTATTGCTCCGAAATCGTTTCTTTTTTTTTTACGTTTTACGTGACTAGAGGAAGAATATGATTGAGGCACAATAGCATGTTTTCTAGCCAGGAATCATGAGTAAGGCAAGTTGTGTAAAAAGGACATAGCGAGGAGCTATTTGCTCAAAAAGAAAAAAATACCACCCTCTCACAATTATGCAGCAACGAATCTGTTTTGCGTTGATGACAGCTGACTTTGTGTACAGACGTAGTTGTGCTCTCTTACAACAGCTTTCACCAGGCTTTTCTTCAATACACAATTAAGGTGAATATTTTTAGAGTAGTACAAGACACGTTAGACTTTGTTGTTTGTGGAATATCCTTCACATTGAAACCACTAGTAAGGTATTCAATGTACTGTATCTATAGATAGGTTAGTTTCACGCACATCGGCGCGGTAATTTAGTAGTAATCTGAGGAAGCCATCTTCTAGAGATTACCACGAGTCTTTTCAGGAACTCTTCCAAAGTCCACAATCACGGATATTGTGGAACCAATGCAATCAGACTAATGCTGAGAAGAAAGCTGCTAAACCCTCAACAGATGTAGCAGGGATTTCAGGCCCTTCTGGATACAGAAATCGGATTACAGGTTTCATAAATCCTCAGCTGGACTCTGCTAGCTGAGTTGTCTTCTGAAAGTTGACCATTAATAAGACTTTGTGATAGCTCGAGTTTGTCATGACTGAGTTATTTTGCGAAGCCGACTCCCACAGCAATGAAGCAGATGGAACCTCCCAAGATTTTTATGCTGACACATGTAGATCCGTCCTGTTTTCCCAAGCCACTCAATCATCCATTCCATACTGTTGTTCCATTGCGGCCTCCACAGCTTTCAAGCATTCCTGCTTCCGATAATTTTCCAGACCCGGCCAGCCATGCTCATGATAGATGAATTGTAATTTTTCCACCAAGCCGTCCGAGCCTGGTCTGAGATACGCGTATACATCGATGACAGACAGTTGACTGGTGGGGATAAAGTTCAGTTTTCGAAATTGATCCTTGAGAACTTCGAAGAAACCATTCACGGTCCAGCGAGTGGCATCGCCACGCCAGTCGGCCTCGTTTTCTGGAGCCCACTCGTGAGGGTCGTCGAAAACTCGCAGATGGTCGTAGGAAGGATTGTCCGAGATCCCGTCTGGGCATTCTGGCCAGTATATTATGCCAAGCTCTGTATCCAAGAGGAAAACAGGATTTTCGCGGCCACCCTTTGTGAGGCCAATCACGTGGGAGGGTGCGTTGTCGCAGATTTCGGAACCTTCCGACATGATTTTCAAATCCTGGCCATCCATGCCGCGTTCGACACGGGCTCCTGTGTGTTGCCAATCGGCAAAACGGCACCAAGGAGCGCCCTGAGCCTGATTGAAAGGATTGCTCGGGACACGAATGTAGGGTAGATGGCGTAGAAGACATATGACTTCATCTGTTTTTCCCATGTCTTTCAAAGTTTCCGTTGTAATTGTAGGCCAACCTTCTTCTGGAGGATACAGGATGTCGTCTTCGTGGACATACATCGTACTTAAGAAGCTGTAATAGTCGCGGATTGACGCTATGCACTCTTCGCGGGAGTATTTGCATTCGGCGAGTTCGGGCATCTTTGCAGCTCTCAAAAAGATGTCGGCCCGGGGCAAGTAAATTGTGCTTGAGAGTGAGAGATGAAACTTTGGAGGCAGGCATGAGATCGCTTAAATAATTGAAGGCATGACCTCTTAGTGGGACATCAAGTGACACCTTGGCAAGTTAGCATGATGTCAGACTCTAGTTTTCGAGTGTCACAGCTAAGGGAAGACTCAAAGCACGGCAGAACCTTGTGGTCTGACTGGCTGAGAGGAGATACACAAAGTTTACCTTCCATAACACTCCGGGGGACCGCATCAATTCTAAAAGGCTATCTTACTAGCCAACATCTGTAGCCTTCAAGGTGACGAGGGTTCGAATATTTCCTGATTCTGCGATCGGTTTATAGCCTGTAGACGAAAAGATCCAGCTAGGCAACATATAGCATCATGTTCGCCAAGGGGTGGAATTCACGCTCAAGTAAATAGGTAGATCATCTGGTTTATATCATGAGATCTTTCGACTCTAAGCTATCAAACCTTGCTGTAAAATGAAGCTCATATTGAACGTCTCGGAGAACCGCTCAAGGTGTTTCGTGCCATTCTCCACTGATGGTCTGTAGACATCCTGTATAACGGAATGTAATGGCTTTGAAAACCATAAAATACTTACCAGGGTGCCAAGCCCCATAGGCTTCAACAAACATTAACTCAAATAATTTCTCAACCACATTTAAGGTGATAATGTAGCTCTCACGGTCGTATATTCAGGTCTATGATTCTACTTCGAACCGAAAAGGTCAGATTGCAGAACTGTTTTAAAAGGCCCAAAGGCATGAATTTCCCTGGAAACATTTCTTCATCAGGCGAAATCATTGACTGTGAGAATGAACATTGACTATGGCACAGAATCTGACTATGTAATTATCACTGCCACGCACAAGCTACCTAAACACTAACACTCATGTCTCATACCAAGGCAATCGACTAATCTCTATAACCAGATCAACAATGAAATTAGTTTATTTTCTTTCGTGGATAGCAGTAGCTGCTCCGCATCCTTCGCTTGACAAGACCACACGAGTTGACGTCCTACACAATGTCACCGTCAACATCGCAGCACCACTTGGAATCGATGCTACACCTTCTAGCCAACAAATCGAATGTCCTATACCTTGTGCTAACCACACAAACACGAACACATGGACAGAGTATGGATCGATTGACCACCTACGTCGCTGCCAGGAACCCATGCTTATTGCACCAATGTTTCCCGACGCTCTTGCCAACCTAACTTCTACCACTACCGTCTACGGCTGCTCGCTCAATTCCAGTCGTCCAGTCTATGACTGGACATCGGAGTCATTCGCGAAGAGCTCTCAGTTTAGTATTCGGCAACCAGATGGCATGTACTCCGCATCCTGTGAGTCTACCGGCCAAGAGGTCGAGAGTAAAGTCATGGTAGTTCGAGGCAACGATGGCAATGACAAATTCAGTAGGTTGCACTTTATTCTCCTAGGCCAGTCAGTAGAGCGAACGCTTGCAGATCCCTCCAACTGCCCTACGAAAACTCTCTTCGCCCAATCTAGAAGCATGATAGTGAGTATCTATAGCGGAGGCTCCTTGGCAAAGTCAACAATAACGTCTGCATGGAATGCAATCTCGTATCTGCCAATCGTCGGCCATTCGACTCAGATGCTCGTCGAGATTTGCGATGACAGTCGAGGACCTGAAAGGATCTTAGGCATTGCAATTGACATTGTCGAAAACCGCGAGCTGGTTGAAGAGTTTACTTTGGGTTGGAGTCAAGGGAAATGTTTCGCGGGCCCAAAAAACGCAACCGTTTTGCCTGGAGTGAAGGTTCATGAGATATCTGATCCTAGCCTCAGACTTTCACGTCCTCAGCTTCCGCGTCCTCAGATTCCTCGTCCTCGGCCTTCACGTCCCCAGCCTCCGCGTCCTCAGCCTTCGCGTTCTCAGCCTAAGCGTCCTGGGCCACCTCAACATCAGCCTAAGCGCCCTCGGCCGCCTCAACATCAGCCTCCGCATCCTGAGCCTACCTTCCAACGCCGCGAGTTGCAACGATGCATATCAGGCGAAGATCGCACTTTGAATACTGGCGATCTCTGCGAGTTTTCTTGCGAATACGGCTTCTGCCTAGAATCCTTGTGCGAGTGCACCGCCCGAGGTATTCCATCACAGGTTCCGCCTGAGAAAGAAGTCGATGTCGTCGCCTGGGACGATACGAACACGGATCTTAATATTCTTTGCAAGTTTGCCTGCAAGTACGGCCATTGTCCGCAAGATATCTGCACGAGCCGTATCGATGGACCAGATACGAGTGACATCGACATCGTGGTAACCGACCCTGAGTACCCTCTCGACTATGCCAGGCGTGTCAAGGAAAGCAATTCGAAGAATTGCAACATATACAAAGAGCCTCAACACTGGGACTACCAAAAGAAAAGTTGCGATTCCATCTGCAAGCCAGAAACTGATCAAGCCAAGAAAGAAGGCAAAATGTCTAATGCGTTCTGCCTGGGCTTTTGGCCAATCGACAAACCTATCCCTTGGCAAAAGATCGGCCCAGATACGACAATTGCTGGAGGGAAATGCGAATGCAACAACCCTCTGGTAAACGAATTTGCAGATATCGTCTTGGATGGCATGCCACAGATGGCTCAGGTAAGCGTCACTACACCATAATCAATCGGGGCAATATGAAGTAAAGATGAAACTCACAACCAACATCACAGATCTCATGCTATATTATGATGTCAACGCTGAAACTAGTGCTGGAAATTGGTGTAGAATCTATTCCTGTGGTAGGCAAGCCAATTAGCGCTGGCCTAGGTATGCCCTTGCCCCTCTCTCATTATCTCTCTACACCTCCCGGTGCCTTTTCCATCTCCTATTCCCCTCTTATGAACCTGAAGCTTATACATCTGGTTAGAAATCGCCAATACGGCTGCTCAAATGGCAGCATATCTTTATCCCAAGGAAGAAGACCCTGAAGGCGCTTTCTCTTGGTGGCTTCAGCCATGTGGCGGAACAAACTTGGTTCCGGAAGACATCAAAAAAGTATATGACATATTGAGCAACTCGCCTGCTGGAAGAGACCGATTCGAGAAGAAGAAGAAATCGGATAACCTCAAACAAGGTAGTGGCAAAAAGGATGACGACAATAACCCCACTGATAGAAAGATCCAAAAGGGGCGGAAGTGCAGGGTTCCACCAGCAAAATCAACCATGCGACTTGGGGCTGCTAAAAACACATTGAGGATACAATCTTGTGTCAACGATGCGACAAGGAAAAATGATTTAGTTGTAACATCGGTTGTCTACGCACCCAACGCCAAGCCGACTGTTGTGGAGAGAGAATGTAGCCAAAAATGGTCTCAAGCTTGCTTCCATTATAGTTCGGCTATCAAGGTCAATCCGCAATGGGCTACTCTAACTTGTCCGCCTGAAGCCGCGGCAACGGCGTGGCGCTTAGACGCAGAAGCTGTGCCAGCCTTCCAGAAGCAACATAAAGGTGATAGATGGCTGGATGAAGTCAAATCGAACCCTAATAAGGTAGATTGCGACAAAGACGAATACCCACCTGCATATCTTCTAGGACTACAGGACCCAGCCCGCCTCAATTCTGGTAAGAATGCACAGGGACAACTAATTCGTCTAATCCCAGGAGGAATGAATCGAGGAGCAGGACATATGTGGAAAGGAATATGTCTTGGTGCCGCCATCGAAGACATGAAGGACTCCGAATTCAAGGCCAAAGTCGATGCCGATCCCAACAGGAAGACCATCATACAAGGCGGCGTGACAAGAACTCAGGCCGCTATCACGGCTACAGTTCGGCCAGAATTTACCATTAACAAATGGGGGCATGCTGCCAACCCACCGGCGAACGATGGTCTGGAGCTCAATACTTGTTGGCCAAACAATATTGCTGCGGGCGACCCAGGCTTTGCCTTGTTAACATTTGATCCATACTACAACACCCACCCGCGACTATACAATTACAGTATACCATATGTTAAAGGTTCGAATGGTTCCTGAAACCGGTTCAGACTGATAATCTCGACATGGAAGAGTATGGGCATTGAAAAGACGAATCATTTCCCAGCACGCACATCGTATGCACGCGAGTTGGCATATTTAGTGCCTAGTTTACCTTTTGATACGAAGGGTTGGTGACTTAGTTACTTAGTTGGCCTTGTTATGGAGCAGGTTTGTTTTACCAAATAAGGTAGTTGTTTTGCGATTTGGAGATTGTTTCGATGCCCGATCATCTGCACCCAGTAGTTTAGATAGAGTACTAAAATTATACAAGCTCTAGGAGCTCATTTAAATCGATACAAACAACTTTTGTAAGTGATGATAAGAATGCCGATCTATTGACTACTTACTTTAGGTGCTTTCTGCAGATCACCACGATGGATAATTAACCCATTGCAAATTGGAATGTTCATTACATGTGATAGTTGCGAGAGCCGGATTAAATTGGTCGCCTCTCAGTCAGCTAGTCTTGAACCCCCACTGAGTAGGAAATTATTTTGAATCCATATCATCCCATGAAGACAAGAGCTGTATGGTACAACGAATCCGAATTGCACCAACAGCATTATCAATTTACCCTTGCCCTGCAGTATGCATACCTGATTTCTAGTCCTCCCAAATATACAAAACCAAGAAGCTATCATATGCGATTAGAAAAGCCAACTAATATTCTCGCAAGATCAGGGAGATGAAAAGGTTTCGTGCGAGAGTCAAGGCAGAATGGTTGATGGATCACAGGCAGTTCTCCGGCATTGAAGCTGGGTACTTATGCATGCGAAAGATGTTGAATTGCCCACGAGAAATTTCTGTCTACAAGTCTGTGATCGAATTTTCCAGAGATCTAGGCCCACTACACTGTTGACGCCTTGACGGGTAGATTTGAATAGGTGGGTAGCTAGATGCGATATCGATATTTTTGCGGATAGACACGATGCTTAAAATGGGTAAACAGGCACTTCCCTATAATAGTACCCTGCCTACGTACGGAGGACAGTATGCGCCCTATTCATTTAATGTACAAACCATTAGGCCCGTTGCAAAAATTACAGTTGTCCTTCAACGGTAGGTGGGTCAGCTGGGGAAATTTTCAAAGATCTGATACTTGATAACTCCCAACACCCTATCCGAGTTCATTGAGGCTGAAGAGGGGTGAGGACGATGACATAGTGCCGACTAGGCCTCGTCAGGGTAACCTGGCCGAGACAAGGAGGATGCGGGGTGGCCAATCCGGTTCTTTACCGCGCTGGCACCGGTGAAGTAAGTGGGTCGGGCGGATCCGGCGGACCGCGCTCGAGACACGAATAGTACGCCTTCACACGACCCCGGCAAATTTTCCTTATCTGGCCCACGCGGAGGCAATCCATTCGACATTCCAACTCCGTGTCAACTGTCCATGCAAAGATCAGTCTATCACACCTAACACACAAGCATTCGATTCTTCTGCTGCCCGTTCCATTGGGATTGGTCTAGAACTTTGCCTCATTTGCTCTCCCCTTCTATCGGAGGACGGCTGAACTTTCGGGCTTTCTTGGCGCTTTGTCTTTCCCCTCTCTCTCCCTCCCTCCGTCACTCATTGACTTCAACGGGCCCGGCCGGCTCTCTCAGCCATGTCAACGAAACCCCGCCGTACCCTTGCGGGGCCAATCTTCCGCGTCCGTACGGGGTGCCTGACGTGCCGCGGTCGCAAGAAGAAGTGCGACGAGACCAAGCCGCGGTGTCGCGGTTGTGAGCGGAACCGCCTAGAGTGCCGCTGGCCCCCAACGTCCTCATCCCAGGCCACTGCCGCTGCCTCTTCCTCTCAAGCTACCCAAAGCGGCGGCACCTCGCGCTCACCCCGCGAGGTAGGAAATTCGCCAGAGAGCACGCGGCAGGACGATGTTCAGCCTACTGCTCCTTCACCATCAGGGTCCACGGTGGCATCCCAGAGTCCCCAGCATCTCCCAGATCGTTCAGTCAACTTCTCTTTTGCATCACATATCCAATCCTCGGAATCACCAAGTGCAGCCACAACAGACTCGAGTCCAAGCCCGGCAACCCAGATCGTCACGACAGATCAGAGCGGCGGAATCATCGTCCCTCCCCAGACGCCAGAAGAGCACACAGCGGCTGCCATCGGACTTCAAGACCCTTCCGCCTTTTCGGTCTTTAACACGGAGGACCCGGACGATGGCGAGACTACGGATCAGATGGTGCACTCGCCAGTTCAGCCAATGTCGATATTCAGAGATCACCATGTGCCGAGGTCAATGAACCTCCTGGCCGGCAATCAGGATAGCAACTCACTCGAGCTTCTCAGTCACTACCTCAGCGCGACATCGCTCAGTATGGCCAATGGATCCACGGCAGACAACCCTTTCACCGCGCAGTTGATTCCTTTAGCATTCAGCAGCGATCTCGTCTTACAATTACTCCTTACGCAGAGTGCCGTTCACCGAGCAGCAAAGTCTTTAGTTCCGACGGACCATATTGCAACCAAATACTACAATCAGTCGTTACGACTCTTTCAGCAAAACATCTCGACGTACATGGGCGGACAGCATGGTGAAGAAACGCTGATCCTGGGCATTGGTGCCCTGATTCTGTGCTTGGTCGAGGTATGTTGCACTGCCACGCTCGGAATTGAGTTCACCGTGATATTGATACCCCTTGTAGACTGCCAAAGGTGACGTGAATGGAACCATCTTCGACCATCTCATGGCAGCCCAGTCCTTGATCTTGCCCTTCTTATCTGCGAACAACACCTTTCTACACAAGACTTTGAAAGACTTCTTGACCGAATACTACATCTACACGGCGACCGTCAGCATGATATCCATAGACGCAAGACTTGGTGATCAACTATTCCTCAGTAACGACCTCATTCTCCTCGCCACTGAGCTCGTGGCATCCTCTTACATAGGTAGTCTATGCGGATGCTGGCTAGATCTGATCCTGCTGGTGCCTTCGATCTTCGACCTGGGACGGCGGATAATGAGCCACATGGACGAGCCGGATTGGCGCCCATCAGCCGATGACTTTATTCTGTTCTCACAACTACAAAGTCAGATCCTCAACTGGCAGCCAAACCCCATGGTGACTGAGAATGTTGCCTTGGCCGGATATATATACCAGAAAGCCTTGTTGCTCTATCTGCACACGGCATTACATACACTCTCTCGAGAAGAGCACGGCCTCCAGGCAATGGCTATCCAAAACGCCCTCAGCGGAGCTCTCTCACATCTAGCACAACTAGATCCTAGCGTCCGCATAAACACTAGTCTATGCTGGCCCATCACCATTATCGGTTCGTGCGTCACAGATAAGGGACAACAAGAATTCCTGCATGAGAGGTTGGGCCATATGTTTGCCACCATTGGTCTGGGTAACATCCGACAAACTTCAGTCGTACTGCAGCACCTGTGGGACCACAACGAGGTCATTCCGGCGGATATTGGGGCAGGTCCTTGGCAGGTTTGTCGGGTCATGAACGAGAATCAGATTTGGATTTCATTTGCGTAGATGGACTGGGGACATGATTGATATGAATAGCGGCGGTGTTTAAGGGGCCAGCGAGCGTGCGAACGAACGAAAAATGGCGGCGACTGGCGGAACCAGAGAACATTTTTCGATCAACATGTGTGTACATTTATGGACGGGTCTCATCAAGAGCGGGCGAATATGATACCACGAATATTTTCTTTATAGTAAGGTATGAGGGACTAAAGCTTCTACTATTTGACTAAACTGTCAAACTTTTCACCATTACCACCCCTTCCACGGAACCCAGGTATCTACCACAACATCATTCTCATCTACAACGTAGTAAACATAAAAGGCCGCAGCAGTAATGCAGGCATGCTGGACATTGAGGAACACCTTATCGCCAACATCGAAATTCGCTTCCACATCTCTGCGCTCCGGCTCAGCAGTCTTTGAGCCCGGTGTCTGAACTTCACCCAGGATACCGTGTTCCTGAGACATTCGAACAACAGCCCAGTCAGGCTTGCCGACAACCTTGCCATAGCCTGGGTCCGGGCCAGCTTCCTTTGACAAGGCGATTGTCCCGGCGTTGATGAGAGCCTCGTTGCGCTCCGGGTACACGCTGCAGACTTCGGAGAGGACGCGGATGGCCTGGTCTTCGGCTCCAATGACGCTGGTTGCGACCTGTTGGAGATCGTTTGTTGGGAAGTTCCCTAAGAAACCCTCGTGTTAATCGTGTCTCGCCTCTGCGGTCAAGATTAGCGAGAAGTACATACCGGCGTGCAACTCCAAGGTGACGTTCTCGGGGATCGCTGCCTTAAGAGTGCCAACAACATGAGCCGTCGGTGTAGCGCCCACAGATAGAGTGAGTTTTCTGTCACCAGTAACCAGCTTCGCAGCGCTCAGGACACTGTTGATTTCGACCGTAAGGAGATCCTCCACTTCTTGTGGTGTCCGGCACCCATAAGAGTGGCCTGCATGGCAGTAGAAACCCTTGAGAGTGACGGCTGGTGAGTTGTTGACGTGTTGAATCAACTTTGTAAGACGATCGCTGCCCAGGGGAAGACCGGCGCGCTTGCTACCCACATCGAGCTTGATGTAGATGTCCCAGGGTTGGATTGTGCTTTCCGTGTTCTTGGCGGCAAATTTCTCTACGATTATGAGCTGCTTCTCATGGTCGATCATGAGCTGGACGTTGATGGACTTTCGTAGATCTTCCAGCAGATGGATGGTGCTTGCTGGGGGCGGCAGCCCATACAGAACCTAAAAGAAAATGCCTCAGTTCTGCGAGTCCTTGTGTATCTTTACTGGCGAGTCATAACAAACCTCCTCGAGAATGCCCTCTTCTGCCAATGGCAATAATCCACGGATTTCTGACAGTGTTGATGCCACAACTCTCTTGTACTTGCCATTTCCCAGCATCAACCGCGTGACTTCCAGACTCTGCGAATCAGTCAGTCATGACCTCAAATATGTCGGAGTGGGAAATATGTCAATTTCCTACCTTGAGGGTCTTAACATGAGGTCTAAGTGTGACTCCGGCCTTCTCGACATCCTGATGCAGCCTCTCAATATTCTTCTTGATGGTTGGCAAGCTGAGAACAAAAGAGGGCGTAGGCAGGTCAGTGACCTTGGAGCCAATGAAGGAGCGGTGGTTCTGTAACGAATAATCCATGGTGCCTGTCTACAGTATGGAAGTATGCGTGCTGCAACGTTATGCTTCTAGAGAGACTGCCAGCGACTGAAGAGAGAGCATGGTTTTCTCCGAACCCTGCCACTTTCCCGCGGACCAGTCGGAGTCGACTTGTTGACATGGGCTACACTGTCAAGAAAGGACGCCTGAGAGAGGAGGAATCAGTGCGACCGAAATAGCCGAAAGCGGCGCTGGACAGCTGTGGGGCATCTCCCCGCTCCGGCGCCGGCAAGGATTCAGCGCGGAAAACGTCTTTATTGGCAGAGTTGCCCGTTTCCTTGTCATCGCTTATCGTCGGTTGCTCGATGACGGAGACATTGACCGGCGTTGCATCAACATATGAACCAATTAGTTGATAAGTTCCCTCAAGTCACAACTTGTAACACGGTATTGTAGACACTGATTATCGTCGTCTCAGAAATCTGTGCAGCGTTGTCATCAGGCAAGGTTACCATACTACTGAGATCCCTTCAGCCTACTAACTTGGCCGTGGCTACCAGATGCCTCAAAAACAAAAAAAGAACAAGTTGAAGAAACGAAGAATTTCAACGAGGACTATTCCTTTCGCGGCTTCAGCTGAACAACAAACCGTTCGTTGTAGGCAATACCCCCGACAACCACAAACTCTCCCTCTTCCTTCATATCAAAGTCAAACTGCCGAAAAGTCTCTGGGAGCAACTTGTACAACTCCATGATGGCAAGGTCTTTTCCTAGACAGACTCTAGGCCCAACGCCAAACACAAAAGCAGAAGCATCCATCTCGCTGATATGCTCCTTGGAATTTCCCTCGTCCTCAAGCCACCGCTCTGGTCGGTATACCTCCGGGTCTGGGGCATACAGATGAGGGTCCCGTTGAACGACGTACGAATTGCTCGTGATTTCTGCGCCAGCGGGTACCCAGGTACCGTCCACGACTTTACCATCTGGGGACGGCGCCACTCTGCCGAACAAGTTCGTCGCGGGCGGGTGAAGTCTCAGAGACTCCTTGATACAAGCCACAAAGTAGGGCAAGTGTGCCCTTGTCTCTTCGAATTGTATGGGTGTACTGAGAAGTTTGGCGTCGGCGGCAGCTGCTAACTCGGCTCTTACACGTGCGAATACGGCCGGATGGGTCAGAAGGAATCGGATGGTACTGCCGAGCGCCGTTCCGGTCGTATCTGCGCCGGCTTGAATGAGCAGCGTTACGTGCGCGCGCTTCTGCATCGCCGTCAATGGCTTTCCGTCCATCCGTGCCTCGAGGCACCTATAACCAGGTCAGTATTGCGCCTTGATGACACGCAGGGGTTTGATGTGACGAACAGTTGCAAAAAGTCTGGTCTCTCCTGGGAAAAGTCCTCTTGCGACATGCGCTGCTCCCGACCAGAGACCTCCCTGTCTGCTTGCCTCATCAAGTATCCCATGCCGTTGTCATCGCTTGTCTCCGGTAGAAAATATTTACCCAGCGAGCCTTTCAGGATCACATCCCGAAAGAAGCGGAAACGACCTGCAAACCCGAAGAATACTAATCCCTCTCGCCAACTTTTGAGCATGTTGCGCTCGTCACGACTGTTGTCGACGAAGCCCCAGGGTTTGGTGAAACAGACTAGCGTCATGATATCGGCCGCGAACTCTCTTAGATGAGGTTAGCCTTGTCACAAGGTTTTTTGCATCTTTGCTAAGAGCATGTCAATACTCACGCTACTTTGTCGGAGAGAATGACTGCCTGATTTTTCTCGGCAAATTCGGTCATCCGTTGCACAAAAAGTTGAATGTGTGCGTCTATTCGTGGTTCCCAATTGTTCTTCAATCCACCTACGGACCACTGGACAGTTCCGTATTAGTCAAAGGCGCGCCGAGAATGCAACTAATAGCGCAGAACTGTTGCAGAGACATACCGATGGACCGCCGAGGGCTTTTCTCAAGGACTTATGCAAACTCCCATCAATGGTCGAGAATAGGTGCGGTGGGCCAAGTGCACCGGAACCGTAGAGGGAAGCTTTGTTATTGCATTTCGAATCCCAGTAGATATCCTTGACAGCCTTGGATTGAGGAAAAAGCAGAAGCGATGGTGCTATGCGGATAGGCTTCTCAACTTCGCCGATCAGTTAGTACTAGTCTATCACTTTCTAAAAGATTGGACGGGACACCAGCTAGTGAATCTCGTGGTAATTTCAGATGAAAGAACAAGACGGGCAACAACTCACATCCATATTTTTTGGCCAGGTACAGCAACCAATGTGGCTCAAGCCCAAATACGGATATGACAGCGGAGCATAGTGAGAATGAAGCCGCATACCATGGGCCATGATAGTTGGATAAGGGGTGTAAGTACAAATTATAGAAGATTCGTAAAATTAGTGTTGAAATTGTCGCGATAGACAAAAAAGCCCCGGTCGAGGCTAGCGAAAGCTCTGGCGCATCAAGTAACACCATAATCACGGGGGGTTTGGCGAGAAGGTTCGATGAGATATTGTGCATGCCTGTTACCATAGACTCAAATAGGTACGTGGGATATATATACAAATATTCTATAACAGCCAGATTTGCAGATCTCTTCCATTTTCCTCTACCTCAGTCATGAGCTGTCTTAGAGCAAGATCATATGCTTTCATATCATAGCCACCTCATTCGTCTCATTTGTCTGGCCTGATATGCAGCAAGTTCCCAGTCCTACTCTGACTGCTGTCTTATACCCATTGTACAACATGCCCCTCATCGATGGCCTATCGGCAACGCGTGATCAGCCCTTGAATGCTGCTTTGAGTAGGACGGATAAGTATAGTGCTGATTATGAACAGTGCTGCATGAATGATGCAACCCTGCATCGGTTGTTGGCTGGAGCCAACCTCTATTGAACCTGCAGACGTGCCGAGCCGGGCGAAAGACCCATCGTTCAAGCGCAACTTGCCGGGTCCCGTGTCTAGGCGCCAAAAAATATAAGGCGCATGTGCGTTGGCAGCTCAAATTATGGTGTGTTCATGTGCGCTGTGAGACATACATGTTGACCGAGATGGAGAGCAGTGCCATGCCTGATATTTCGACTTCCTTCCATTTCCATATTTGAGCGTATTCAGCAAGGAAATGAACATGTCGATCAAATCATGCTCGAGGTATTCCGCGGACAACAGGACACAGATTGATTAGTCACGCCGTTTCCGACGCCGGAGATCCACCCCGAATCGTCTTATCTCGCTCTGGGGTTGCCGACCCCGCAGCCGATCTTATGCGGGATCTTGGATTCCCGTGTTCACTTCATCTTTGGCATTGAGAACCTGTTCACCTCATGTAATCTCATCTCAACAACCCAAAATCGTCGCCAAAATGTACACTGTCAATGTGGGAGACGGGCTAGACAGCCTAGACACACCTTCCATGATCGTGGATCTCGACCTCATGGAAGCAAACATCAAGAAGCTATTCGACAGCCTACTTCCCACCGGAGTCAACATCCGCCCTCACCTCAAGACAACAAAGAGCGCAGCTCTTGCCGGCAAGCTTGCTGCTGCCGGTGCCAAAGGCTGCTGTGTGGCCAAAGTGTCAGAAGCAGAAGCTATCACGGCGGCGGGCTTCGACGACATCCTCATTACGTGCGAAATCATTGGCAGACCGAAAGTGAAGCGTCTTGTTGAACTTTTTAAGAAAAACAAGAAAATTAGAATCGTCATCGATAGCAAAATTGGTGCAACGGCAATCAACGACGCGTTGAACGAGGCCGGTGTCGAGGAGCCTATTCTCACACTGATTGACTTGGATGTTGGACTGCATCGGACTGGCGTGACCGCAGGCGAGCCTGCCTTGGCTCTGGCGAGACACATTGGAAATCTCAAGCATCTCAACCTGATTGGTGTACAGGGATACGAGGGCCACCTGCAGCACCTCCACGACCGGGAGGACCGAAAGAGACAGTGCCTCGAGTCCATGAAGACGCTGACCGAGACGGCAGAAGCGCTTCGGAAAGCAGGTTTCGGCATCGAGGTGGTCACAACCGGCGGCACAGGCACCGCTGACTTCTGCGTTACGGTTCCAGGAGTCACGGAATTGCAGCCGGGATCCTTCATCTTCATGGATACGGACTACCGCAACGCCGTCGGCTCGTTCTACTCCAATAGCTTAACGCTGTTAGCGACCGTTGTCAGCAAACAGGGCGAGCGGCAAGTGACGATTGATACGGGGCTGAAGTCGTTGACGACGGACAGCGGACTTGCTGAATGCAAAGACCGACGCTATACCCACGCCAACCTGGGAGACGAGCATGGTTCGCTTAGTTGGGAGGAGGAAACTCCCGCCTTGGCGGTGGGAGATCGGGTTGAAATGGTTCCCAGTCATATTGATCCAACGATTAACCTGCACGACTGGTATTACGCCCATCGTAATGGGGTTATCGAAGAAATCTGGTCGGTTGACTCTAGAGGGAAGGTGCAATAGTTTGCGGTCGGCTTCACGCCTCAACTAGCGCCTTGAACCAAGCACGTCTGAATGATGCAAAACATGATGGGTTAGGGGTATCATGGACATGTACATAGGATATGAGATCTGATACATAATGCCCTTGAAAAAATGAACTGAACCATATCAGGTCAAGTATAACTCTAGGCCTTGCATCTAAATCTTGGCTTTCGAGTGACTCCTTTCTTTCAAGTTCCTCTCAGCGGGCAAAACCATGTTCACATGAGTACTCAGAGCGACAACATCTCCACCCTGATCTAGAACAATAACCTCGAGATCTAGTCTGCCATTTCGGATGACCTTTGCCATTGTCCGAAGGAAGAGCCACTCGGCTCCCTCCCCCGGCAAAGCCTTCTTCACGTCCAGATTCAGAGCAAGGGTAGGGTACCAAAACATCTCATTCGACCGAAAAGGAGTCTGTTCCTCGTCGCGCTTCGGTCTCCATGCCTCTATTACTGTCGGATACGCGTCCACAACATAACCGAGCGATGCATTCGTAAACCTCTGGCCGTCTTTCAGCCGCAACCAGAGATCGACGATTCCACGGCGTGAGTCCTTGCGCGGAACGTAGTACTCGAGATTGTTGTGAGCGCGGGCGTAGGACGTCGCGCGAGCATTCAGCTTTAGCTTGCGCACCCAGTGGGGGTCCTTATCCTGACCGAGGAGGGAAAAATTGGCGGTCTTGGCTGGCGGAGTCATTGCCCAGCCACTCTCTAGCGTCAGGCCCTTCTCGACAGTTAAGCGCGTATTGATCAAGTAGGCGACGACCTCTTTTCTGGAAGACGGCGTAAACCAGGGAGCTGATGATTGGAGATCATGTTGATAGAGGGAGACGTGCAACGTTGAAAGATTGCGGCCGAGCTTGACTTCATCGACGATGAGAATTGCAGGACCAATCTCCGTGCGATTGACGTACTCGAAATGCGCCGAGATTGAGTCGGGTTGTCCGCGTGCTGTAAGGTGCTGCGATGCCGCACGGAGAATCACCGATGCGACGTAACCGCCATTCGGAACTGCGCGCTGTCAATTATGAGCCCAATGGGCGTAGAGAAAAAGCGACTGACCTGAGCCGGTGCACCAGCTGGGAACCAAGTTTGCTCCGTACACATTGGGACCGAGTTTTGTTATCGTCGTAGCACTTGAGAATGTTACAAGCTCCTCAGACGTCATGATATCGACAGGATCCCGCTGATTTCAAGGGTCAAAGTCTCGTCCTCTTCGCCAAGAGGCTCGATTACAGGGATGCTGATTAGCCTTTGCAACACCACCGGTCATTAAGTCGATAAGGCCGTTCAATAGATGGAGGATTTATCTGAGTTTTGGATCAGTAATACACGAAAAGAACTTGGATGAAGCTGAACTATCGTCGAGTCGCTGGAATCCAGGGAAGCTTCTGGGGTATCGACAATGTGGGTCCGGTTCTCGAACGCTTGTTGGCTCTCACTTTGTCCATCTCCAAGATCAGAGAGGGCGGGCGGAGTTCAAACCGAACCCGTTCCTGAGTGAGCCTCGGCTTTGCACATGTCACCTGACTCAGGCCCGCTCAATCTGGACAACGCTCCAGGAGCTTGGGCGTCCGGCCACTTCTAAACAGCAATTGCCTTAGCCTCGGTAAGTGGACCTGTGGGAGCCGTCAGCGCACGCAGCCAAGCTCACTCCTGAGTATTTAGCGTGAGTGAGATGAGTCTCACCCTCACCCTCAGTGGCTCACACTTGTAACTGAAAGCCCCCTAAGAAGTCCACACAGGGCGGCGCCATGAGTCCATGACTGGTGTGAGATTTGAGGCGCCACACAACGCGCAATGCGATCCTCCCAGGCACGCCAGATTAGAGTAACGGATCCTCCGTGGACTATGCCCAACGCCGGCCGTCGTACGGTTTTCAGGCTACTGCTCCGATGCGAGTCCCAACAGTTAGGTTCCTGGGTCCGCGGCGCGTCCCAACAACGGCGTGGCCGCAGGACGCCTACCGAGTCTCCGGGCCTTTGATAAGATTTTATCGCCGAGATGAGATCAGTCATCAGAAAATGGATCTGACGTTCAAAATATGAAGGCTGATGCTCCCTCCTCGCGAATGTGCAGCTGATGCCCAGATCCTTTGCTCAACTTTTCTCACCAAAGCTTACGTCTGCTCGTTTATTATCTCACTCTTAGTTCATCTCATTGCTCGTGGTGCACGCCCCAAGAAGCCCTCAAAATGGCACCGAAATCAGACCCGTTCCCAGGCTTCACGGCCATCACCGACCAAATTTTCTTTCGGGAGGGCGAACCAGTAACAGAGGGCACGCAGCCATCAGCAGATCACCCAAGGGTCGTCATCATTTACAGCTGGGGCGACGCCATACCAAAACACGTCTCCAAATACGCCGATGGATTCCGCACACTCTTTCCGCACGCAAAACAGATCGCCGTGCTTTCGCCCATCGTCAAAGCCATGAGAGAGGACCTTCAGACCCGCTCCAACAACATGAAGCCCATCATCGAAGCCGCCTATCCCTCGACAACGTCCGGAACACCAGACCCCAACGAAGATGCGGTCCTCATGCATGTCATGTCCAACACGGGCGGCATCAACTACGCTGGAACGCTGCACGCCTACCAAGAGAGATTCGGTCGCCCCATGCCGCATCGCCTGTCTAGCTACGACTCGACGCCCGGCAGCGTGATCATGACCTGGAACAACCTCAAGCGCTGGTCTCTGGCTATGACCCTTGGCACCGCTGGTTGGTTTCCCTGGCCGTTCGTTGTGACACAGTGCATCATGGGCGTCTTCCTCCTTCTGAATCACAGCTTCGAGCACCTCACCGGCCGGGAAAGCGCGCCTGTCTTCAGCGTCGCGGCCATTGGCGACACGAAGTATGTTTCCAAGGGATCACGCAAACTGTATCTGTATAGCAAGGAGGATCCGCTCATTGGCTGGGAGGATATCGAGGAGAATATGGCCGAGTCGAAGGGCAAGGGCTACGCCTATGATGCGGTGCGTTTCGATGGCAGTGGCCATGTTGGGCATATGCGGATGCATCCTGACCAGTACTGGAACGCTATTGCATCGGCTTGGAAAGAAACGTGAAGTTCCTGAAGGATCTATAATGAAGGACATATGGTTGGCACTGGTCTTGAGGCGTGTTGTTCCTCCACGTCATGTTGTCAAATGCACGGTGGGCTCAATTGACCAGGACAAGAGGATATTTTGTCGTGTGCTAAAAGACTCTGCCCGGGCGCGGAAAGAATAGACTTATGATAATAATGAGAATAGATTAAGCAATGATGAGCGGTCACGCCGGGTATGACGTCAATATTTCTTCACCCATTCTCAACTTATTTACACATGTCGACTTACAGCTTCTTTCCCCTTCTACCCAAGACAGGTCTGTGACCGAGTATCACAGCTTACCCTACAGATATTCACCAACAAACAGACCCAAAGAAGAGATCCACGCTCGAACACACGATCATGGGCTCCAAAGCCAGCCTGGCGCCCTTGGCATCACTGCGCGTGTCCAAGCACCTCATCCCGGCACATGGACTGTTCCCAAACACAAGCATCCAAAACAAACCCCTATTGATCTATCACTCCGCCTTTTCGTCAACGAGTGTATCAGCCATCGAATCTCGCCTTACCTCCCTTGGTGTCGTCGAGCCGCAGTGGCGATATACCATGTACAGCACGAGTCACTTTCACAGTACAACACACGAAGTTCTGAGCATTAGCCACGGGCGCGCTAAGCTTTGTTTTGGGGGCGAAGATAATGAAGGCCGGATCGAGCCTGTAGTTGAGAAGGGCGATGTCATCATTGTACCGGCCGGCGTTTCTCACCGCTTGCTGGATGATTTTGGCAGCGGATTCGAGATGGTCGGAAGTTATCCCAAAGGCTGCCACTGGGATATGTGCTACGGCAAAAGGGGCGAAGAAGGAAAGATTGATGCCATTGCTGAGGTACCGTGGTTTAGCAGAGATCCGATATATGGAGATCATGGGCCAGCAGTAGAGGTTTGATATCTTGTGACAATTTGACAGCCGCAGACTTGCGAATATCAACAGCATTATTGACACATGCATGATCCCAACAAGTTCCAGAACATGACGCGCAACACAAAGTCTTGATGCTAAAGTTACTACCGACAGCAGAATCCGAAATGTGACAAGTATCAGAAGAATAACCCGAACTCCGCTCAGTATGCAGGATGCAGAATATTTGACGCCAAAAGAACACGTATTAACCACATCGACCTAGACATTCCGCACCGTCATGGCAGCATGCTCTCATAACCCATTACAAACATTCAAACAATGACACCGCATGATGAACATGACCCATAGACATCGGACCACCATTCCCTGATCGGCCGTATAAAGCATTCTGCTCTCACTTCCGTATTGCAGACCAAACACCGACGAGGCCAGCAACCGGCCACGTGATCGCCAGCCTGTCTTTCAATGACTTTCTCCTCCGTTCCTTGCTCACATCAACCGTAATCTTGTCATAAACCGTCGGTAAACTCGTCGCGCTGTACCGATCTCGCAGTTTTGTATACCAATCTTTATCGTACACGTCCCAGAATTGCGACTCGGTGTAGTACGCGTGAGAGTATAACACCTTGCGCCCGCCTAGCTCCATGACCTTCGCCTCGAGATCTCGGTTCTGACGGACGAACCTATCAATCTTCTTTGACGATGCTCCCCACACGCCCACATTGAGCATCGGTTGCGGCGTCTCTCCTCCAGGCTCCATCGTGTAGGGGTGGAAGCCGACGGTTTCAGTGGCACGCAGGGGGCACAGCCAGAGTGGCCATATTTCGAGGTTGTCTGCCACGTAGTCGATGAATTCCTGGACTGTGGTGTATGGAAGCGAGAGGTCGTGAACGGTATATTTAAATGTCATTCGGCTGTTGCCGCTTAGGCCGGCTTTGTATAGTGTCCTTGTGTCCATGAGTCGATTCAGAGCCCGGCGAGTTAGTCGATTGAAAGGGACAAAGCCAAAATATTTGAAGGCCAACTCGCCCATCCAGAATGCACCCCGGTCGTAACGAAATAAGTAATCCTGCAGCGGTACATAATCCGGCGTCGGTGTGCCATTTGCGATTCGCTTCCGTGCATGCAGATAGAACCAAGGATCCTTGGATCTGCTGAATGTCTGTGGCTGGCATTTTTCGGGCAGATCATCCGTCATATGACCCGTAACAACAGCGGCGCTCGTCCTCGAGAAGACCAGTCCTTCGACGTAGTCATTGTGCGCCAGATTCGTCTCCCGTTGTATCGCAGCAACGGCTTCCGGAATTGTCGAGTACGAGTGATAGCTGAGCTTGACGAATTGCTTGGCCTTCAGCAACCGCAGCTCCAGTTTTGTGACGATACCAAGGGTCCCCAGCGCCCCTGCCGCACCCTTGAAGAGATCTGGATTCTCGGTCTGGGAGGCATTAACGACCTCCCCACTCGCGAGAATCATTTCTACAGACTGCACCGTCTGGTCAAAATACCCGTAGCGAAAGGAGCTGCTCTCTCCGGCTGACCCGGCGAAGCCGCCGCCGACAGTGATGCCCGGAAACTCCATAACTACAGGCGGGACAAACCCGCACCGATAGGTGGCCGCAACGAGCTGGTCCATGGGGACATTGGGCTCGACTACGGCGACGGCGGCCGCAGTGTCGATGTGCAGAACATGATGCAGCTCGCTGATGTCGACGACGCGCTGGTGGTGGGCGGGCCGGGTGCTGCTAGTGGAACCGTGAAAGATGCGGAAAGGTTCCCGGCGCGAGTGCAAGTCCCTTACGACCTCAGCGATGCGCTTGACAGCTGCGTTATGGTCGTCCATTTGAGTGTGGCCCGGAGCTGGCAGCTAAGAAAGCTGCAGAACGGAAAGTCTGCTGAAGACAAACCTCGAAGCTGCGATCCGACGACAGCTTGGAGATCTGGGGTTCCGGAGAACGGAAAGTCAATTGTCAAGATGTCATTGAGAACGGACGGATGCAACGCTGTGTGGCTAAGGCAAGTTGTAACGGGGATTGTCAGAAGTTGGCTTGACCCACTCCGGACAGCTGCGTACACCGTCATTGGGCCTTTTCCACGATGCATTGACGATGACTAAGACAGGGATTTCTTTATTATGAGCGCTAGGATCCGTGACTGACTGACAATCTTAACCCTGCATGATATTGTAGATTGGACTGAGATCACTGACTCCTTTTGTGGGTTCCTGCTGATATCTGTCGTCATTGAAGCTAGTATGTAGTCTCTATATATCGTTTCCATATCGAAAGTCTTCTTTTCTCGCAATGAATATATCACTTGCCCTCGGCGTCTTTCTTTTCGTCACCCTCCCCAGGAATCTTCTTTAGTCCGACACCAGCAACGCCAATGACACTCGCCGCGGCCATGACAGCAGCAACTATGAATGTCCTGGTGATGGCATGATTATATACCTGTAGTAGTGTGCCAAATTGGTCCGGAGATACCAAGTCTCTAAGTTGAGTTGCACCCGAGTTTCTAATTGCTTCGGGATCTACCCCTGGGACATTGGAGTTTATTCCCGACGTTAACGTGCTTGCGAACACGGCCTGGGCAACTGTGATGGCAGTAGTAGGACCGAAGCATTGGAAGAATAGTACCACCGCCACTCCTATGGCAACGTCGGCCTCTTCCAGACTGCTCTGGACAGCTACCGCTGCTTGCTGTGTCGATGCCCCAATACCAAGCCCGGCGATGACTTGAAAGGGAATCCAGAGGTTCGCGCCTGAAGATACCTTGAGCGTCGAGAGAAGACCGGCGCCAACAGAGACAAGAATGGTACCAGCGAGCATGAAAGGCTGGTAATAACCCGTCTTTGTGACACCCCAGCCGCTGAGGAGAATGGTGAGGATAAATGCTAGACACAAGGCCAGGTATCGAACACCAGACTCCTCAGGCGTGGCACCCTGAATGGCTTGAAACCAGAGAGGCACCTATAAGAGATGTTAGCTTGTGTTCTGTGCTGAACAGCATCGTTCAAAAAAATTGGGTATCATACGTAGTAAACGAGAGTAAAAAAGGCACTGTCCAAGCAAAAACCGAAAAAGGCCCCAAAGATAATCACACGCGTCTTAGCTAGGCGCGGCGGCACCAGCGCCTTTTCGCCCATCCACCACTGTTCGGCCACGAAGCCGATGACGAGGACACCGGCGACGACAAAGCATGCAATGGTTCGTTTGTCATCCCACGCGAAAAGCGCGCCTCCGAATTGGAGGGCCAGGAGAAATGAGGTGATCCCTGGCAGTAAGAGGAGCATGCCAAGATAATCCAAGCCCCGGATTTTCTGCAGCCAAGGCCGCCGCTGCTCCTCGGTTGGTGGGGACGACTTGACCAGAAACAACGTCGCGAGAGCAGGTGGTGCGGCGATTGGAAGGTTGATGTAGAAACACCTGATAACGATTCGATATTAGCAAGGTAGATGCTGCATGGCGAGCAGATTCAAGCAACGGGATACCACTTACCATCTCCACGTGAGGTAGCTGTTCGTGATAACGCCGCCTACCACCGGCCCGAGAACAGCTGCAACACCATAGACCATACCTATGGCACCTACGTACATCGGCAGATGTTTTGCAGGAAGGGCTGCTGAGATGAGTACCAAGCAGCCGCTTTGGAGGCCAGATGCACCGAGGCCGGCGACAGCGCGTCCGACGATGAAAGCTGCTGAGCTCGGGCTCACTGCGCATATGAGGGACCCAATTTCGAAGATGACGAGAGAGATCACGAAAATAATCTTGACATTGAACTGGTTGTACAGGCGCCCGAAGATGAGTTGGAATGCGCAAAGAGTCATTTGATATGCTGAGCCGTACCACTATAAGCCTATTAGCCGTAGTTCGCTGGATTGGAGTCTGTTCATGGAATGCAATGCGACTTACACCAACGTCTGTGAGAGATCCAAACTCATCAGTGATGCGCGGAATGGCTGTCGCAATAATGCCTTCATCGAGGAAAGTACACAAAACACCAAGTGCAATGGCCAGCCAAATGACGAATATCTTCCATCCCGGAAGGCTCTCGCTTTCGTTAGTGTTCGACTCTTCAGAGTGGGATTCATCAGACTGAGTGCTGCTGTCGAGCACATTGCCCTTTTCCTGCTGGGCATCCATATTAACACCGGCTGTCTCAGGAGCAGGCGATTGTTCAGAAACCATGGGGAAAATCTGAAAAGTTCTACGCTTCAAAAGATGGTAGAGGATCCCAGCATAAGCAGATGCAACGGGACCACCTGGGTGTTCCCTCAGTCGTAATCACTTTTCCAGAGCAGCGAGTTCTGAAGTGCCTTGGTTCCATTTCGAGAATAGCACGGCGGAACCTCAGTAGAAGCCTCGCCCCGCTGCACCGGCTGACCGCCATGAGAGGATTCAAGCCTAGACATGGATCCCATCACACTGCCCCCAACCCGCATCCGGAAGGCCAAAACGAACCTCATGGGTAGACGTTGTGGATGTCTGAGGGGTAAGACAAAGCTCGACATTCCTCATGTTCGAAAAATCACGATATTGGCCACCGGGGCGACTCCGCCGCTGCCTTATCGCTGACCACCCCCAGCAAAATGGCGACCACCCCTCTCTCTCAATGGGGCCGAAGGATTCGTGACTGGGCTACTAGTCACCAGCATCCAGGCACCTGCATCAAGAATCGTTCTTTCAAGCATTTTTCGTCATGGAGAGTGAGGTCGATTATTGGTTCCCGAGGCACGGAAAGAATCTATGCGAACTGGGAAATCCGGAGACCCGCATATGAACCCATGCAAGGCACAGTATGCAACCACTTTAGAATGCATGCACTACAAAAGAACCGATGGGGGTCAATAGGATTTCCAGCCTTTCGGGGTGGCGAGGCATCACCGCATCGCTGACGAATGAGTGGGATCACCCACCCAATAGTTGGAATTATGTCGCCAAACCAGTTAGCCTTTTGCTCGATATTACCTGAGACTTTAGCATTTTGAGCCTTGACAGAGACATATGATTCAGGGTAGAGAGTCGAGTAACCAATCGGAACGCGTCCAAGTCGACTCCGAACGTCAAAGAAGGCGCGTAACTGTTGTACAGATTCAACTCATTGCACTCCAAGATGATTAGACACGGCAATATAATGCCGAGAAATGCCGCACTCCACTTTCTTTCGGTTCGTGAGCAATGATCAAATAATCAAAGAAAGATCAGGAGTGAAAGGTTGCTGTTCTAGATTCAAGAGGAGGGGCTACGGCAACCCCGGTCTCATGAGAGTCACCCTCTCTCGGGCGACCACAACCTGAGAATCCCCATGAGATGGCGCAGCATCGAAGGATTGACGGTGTGAGGGATTCCGGGATCTTTACCTGTTTGAGCAGGTTGTGAAAGACCGGCGACCAGTCTAGAATACCTGATTTGGATAACCCGAAAACTGCCTGTTGTAAGTTTTGGCCCAAGGTACCTTACCCGAGGAGGCGTCGTCTGAGCTGTTCCGTGGTAAGCGCGGTCTGAGTATGGCGACATGAGCGGGAACTATCACGGGAGCCAGTTAATTAGACTGAGAGCTACTGATGACGTTGAAGGATTATCTGTGGCCCCATGTCTAACCTTCTCGGACTCGAGATACGCAAAGGTTCCGAATCGAGTCTGAAGGAGCGATGACAGATGTTTCAGTATCATTCATACATGTACGAAAGTCAAGTGGTAAGGTCCTGCATCGACTCAAAGATACTTTCTCCGTACAACCAACATACTTCATAAAAACAACACTCTCCGAGACCTTCCCGCCTTGGCGCCACGCTTCCAGGCTTACATCGTGCATGCATCGCCAGTACCTGCATCGCTGCAACCAAGCCAAATCCTCAACATGTTATCTACAGACGGGAAATGGAAGCTTACGCCTCGAATTCACTCTGTCAAATTTGTCTTCGACGCTCCGACTCCGGCAGATGCAGATACACCGGATGAGATCTTCTTTGACAACCCATTCCCTACGGACACCCCGGGCATGCCTAGGCGGTTTGTCTCCAAGACACCTACAACTCATGCTTCCGATCAAGAGGTCATCGGTCTTCAGATATCGAACACGCATGATGGAGAAGACCTCGATGCAAGTGTGTCATATGACAGACAGGCATCTGATGTGCCAACAAGTAAGGAAAGTTTGACACTCTCGACCGACAGTGGAACCAAGGTTACGTCTAGCGAATCACAGCCAGAGTCGGTCACTCATCTTCGTGGTCCTACTTGCGACGCGCCGGATGATGTGGAGTCGATCGTGTGCTCAGCCTGGGCCTTGATACTATCTTCATTCATCGAAAGCGAAGTAGTCAACTTTGATGTGTGCGTCTTAAGCAGTGACAGTCCTCAGCCCGCGAGCAGTGTGACACCGGTAACATTGTCTATTGACACTCAGACTTCAATTTCGGCAATTCTTCAGCAAATCACACACAAAAGAACCGTAATCGAATCAGCCAGCCAAGGGCTCGAAGCTTGCCATGAGACCGGTGGTGAACCATTCTTGAAAACGCTTATCAAGTTTTCAACGACTGTTAAACATCAGCAGCAGCCATTCAATGCTCCCAGTTCCGACTTCCAGCTTCACTGTCTCGTTGAAGGGAACGACCTACAATTATCTGCGACATTCAATGAGCGTTCCATTCCCAAAGCGAGAGTTCGTCTGCTGCTGAGTGATTTGGAGCACGTCATTTGGCAGTTGGCCAACTCGACAGGAGAGCAGTCCACTCTTGCAGACGTACAGATCATGAGTCCCGCGAGTCAGAGGCATCTTGTCAAATTGAATAGACCGTAAGTTTCATTTCCTGGCATTTTCAACTATTATAGTAGCTTGGTGCCTGTCTGACTTGACAAAGACTCCCGACAAGAGAAGAACATCTAGTTCAAGAGTCGATCGCACAACATGCCAGATCAAATCCTCAAGCACAGGCTATCTGCGCTTGGGACGGTGATTTGTCGTATTCTGAGTTGCAGCGTGCATCAGAGGCTCTTGCGACGCACCTTTCTAGTCTTGGGGTCGGACCTGAGGTGATGGTCCCGATCATCTTCGAAAAGTCTGTCTACAGTATTATCTCCATTCTGGGTGTGGTGATGGCTGGCGGAGCTGTCGTCGTCTTGGACCCCTCGCTTCCTGCAGCCCGGATCAGCATGGTCATCAAAGACTTGGATGCCAAGGTCATTATGTCGTCCGTCTTCGGCGAAAGCAAGATCCCATCACATATCCGACAGGAGAAGCGAGTTTTGATCAACCAGGCTTTCTTGGACCGTTTGTCGACAGCACGGCAATTTCCGTCAACGGAGATCTCATCTTCTCCTAGCAACGCGCTGTACGTTGTGTACACGAGTGGTTCTACCGGAAAGCCAAAAGGTGTTGTGGTCACCCACGAAGCATTTTGTTCCAGCGCCAAGGGTTTCACCAAAGCCATCCACCTCGACGCTCCCACTTGCCGGGTCTTACAGTACTCATCCTTCTCCTTCGACATTTCAATGCTCGAAGTCTTTGCTGCCCTGATGACGGGATCATGCCTTTGTATCCCATCTGAGGAGGATAGGATGAACAACCTTGCCAACTGCATCTCCAGCATGAAGGTCAACTGGGCGATGCTGACACCTTCAGTTGCAAGCCTAATGGTTCCGGAGGAAGTTCCAAGCCTCGAGGTACTGTGTCTCGTGGGTGAAGCATTACCGCAGGCTGTCGCTGACACATGGGCCGACCATGTCAAGACCATCAATGCTTACGGTCCGGCAGAGTGCTCCGCTATCACCATAGTCAGCGAGCCAAGGACTAAGGGGTTGAAGAGCATTTCTCTTGGAAGACCTCCCAACTGTGCCGTCTGGATTGTCCGAGAAGACGGCCAGCTTGCTCCGTTCGGTACTGTTGGTGAAATTGTGATCGAGGGCGCGCCTGTTGCGCGTGGATACCTGGGCGATGAGGAGAAGACAAGAGCTGTCTTCTTGGATGATCCCGATTTCCTGCGTGGTGTCGTACGACAGCCAATGCGATGCTATCGCACTGGTGACCTCGGAAGGATGAACCATGATGGGACTATCGACTTCTTGGGCAGGAAAGACACTCAGGTCAAGATCAATGGTCAGCGTGTTGAGCTTGGCGAGATTGAACATCAACTCAGGAAAGTTATAAATTCCGAAAAGACAGCGTCGCCTCCCGGGACGAACTGGGAGTTGATTGTAGAGCTCCTCCGCCCTCTTGGAGGAGAACATGGTATCCTCGCGGCATTCGTCGCCCCCAAGACAATTTCCGGGAACCTTTTTCATGCAGAAGCGCAACTTATTGTCGAGGAGTCTCACTCTCTGTGGGCGACGATACATCGGAAATTTTCGACAGCTACTGAGGAACTCGCCAGTGCTCTCCCTAGATACATGATACCAAGGGCAGTTGTGCCATGCAGCACATTGCCCCTGTCACCGTCAGGCAAGGTCGACAGGAAGACGCTCCGTGCATACGGAAACGCGTCGACGTCGAAACATCTGCTCAAAACGCCAAACAATAAGGAAGATCACATGCCGGTTGAGATTTCTGGGCCACTTTCTCCAGACTTCCCCGAGAGCGAAGAGGATTCTTCAGTCGGACAGCACACGCTAATATCCGACACATACCCGTCAACCGAAGCTTCAATGTCGCTATGCGACCCTTCACAGCCTAGTTTTACACCAACTGAGAAGGCGCTACGGCTGGCTTGGTCAGAAGTTTTAGGTCTACCTGAAGACTCGATCGTCCTCGAAGATGATTTCTTCAAGCTCGGCGGAGATTCCATCGGGGCTATCAGGATCGTAGCAGCTTGTCGTAAGCAATCACTCCAGATCAATGTTGCGAACATCTTCCAGAACTCTGTGTTGGGCAAGATGGCTCTCGTTTGTAAGAGTACGGTATCTGAGAAGCAGGCGGTGTCTCCTGTCCAGTTCATTCCGTTCCACTTCTTGCGGCGAGAGGACACTACAGAGCTGCAAAGTGAAGCCGCTTTCCAGTGCGACGTCGCTGTCGATGAAATTGAAGACTTGTACCCTTGCACGCACATGCAAGAGGGTCTGATGGCTGTCAATCTCACGCGACCAGGTAGTTACACTGGTCGATGGATCCATCCGCTACCTCGGGACGTCGATCTTGCGAGGTTCAAGAATTGCTGGGAGGATATCCATGCCGCATCACCGATACTGCG